CTCGTTAGAACAAGCCCCAAAGTCCAGCCCCAAACACGGCAATTAGAGCAACAAACTTTCCCACACGAAGCCCTGCACCTCCGCCCCCACCCCCTCCGAACCGAAGACACGCGCGGACAGTGAATCAGAACTAATCGAGTTGCATGAGAGGAGCGCGTTTATCCACAGAAGCCAGCGCCAGACCGCACCCACTGGCCAGTGCACGTGTCGGGGGCGTGCAATAATCACCCACAAACCGAAACAACAACTGAATCAAAACAGAATGTCGTAATTTTCCACACGCCTTCGCCTGCTTTCCCGCCCCCCCATCTACGCTCTTTATTTATTTTATATTTCAGATTTTTCAAATATTTTATAACTTTTCCGCGTGTTATGAGTGCGGCCGACTAGGGAGCTGGGGAGGATGGGCAGGGTGCGAATGGTCAAGCCATTACAACACATTGGGGGCCTGCTCGGGCACTATCCCCACTGCTCCTGCCTCCCCCCCTCGATTGCGTTTCAATTTTTTATTGATTGCCAGACGCGGCGACGATTTCGAAATTTTCATTTGTTGATTCAAAGACCCACAAAACACAAGACAAAGGATGTGCACTGTCTCTTGATTCTCGATTCTGTATGCAGTGGGGGGCTCTCTAATGAATATTGCTCACACGTAGTGCCCCGAGTCGTCAACAGATGCACCCCAAGTCTGTGTACTGAGCTGACACGAGCCAGCCGTATAGGAAAGTTTTCGGGATGATTAAGAATATGAGATTCCAATGGGAGCTAGTTTTGACAAGTTTTATGACGAAAAGTCTTCTGGGGAGTAGGACCTACTGGTTATATGACTACCTTGGGTAACCAAAATGCATAAACTCCTTAGTCTTTAAGGACATTGATTTATAACTAGCTGGGCTTTAGTGCTTATTTTCGGGTTTATGTTCTGAAATGCAATTTTCTTTCATAAGGGCTTTCAGAGCTTTTCCACAACTGACACCCCCACCCTGGAGAGAGTATCTACGCAGTTTGCGTTGCAATTAAGCTGACATATCATTTTCAGGCTGGAATTTGTTGTTAAATGTGCATTTAATTGCTGCTTTTCCTCGTTGCTGCTGATATATGGTATTGTTTTGAGGCGGTGGCTCTGTTTTATTTGTTTGTCTTTTGTAATTTTAACGCGGATGTTTGTTTCGTGAATGAACGATTTGTTGTCGATGCGTCGAGCGTCGCATGCCGGCTTATTGTTCCTATATAGATCGGAATCTCCCCGGCGTGTGGTATTGTAGATTGACGGGAAAGAGCTTCCTTCAACATGCGCGTGAAACCGATACGTTCCGTTCCCGGTTTTGTTTGTTTTTATATATATTTTCCTCTCTTGTTTTATATTGTTTTGTTTTCGTTCGATTTGCCTTGCAAATTCTTCACTCCGAAGTTCATACTTCAAGCCCTTGAATTTCTGTCGAGTATTATATAATGTCTTGTGGCCAGATTTGGATCATTAGGGCCTTCTGGAGGGGAAAAAACAGAAATTCAAGTTCTGGAATTTTGTTTACTGTTTACTTCAGCTGATTTGGTAGGGATGCGAGGAAACGCAATGCGCAAAAGGTAGAAACCCACCCTTTTCCGAGGAATACAGCCAAGAAATCGAAAACCACCGCGTGGCAAGCCAAAAGTATCTACAAGAACGTCCCACCGAGAGAGCGCCGCAGCCGCAGCCAGAGCCGGAGCCGGAGCGAGAGTGATAAACAAAAGTGTCGTAAAGTTTTTGCGTCGCAGCGCAAAATAATAAGTGACACAAGAAAAACAGACCGATACATATATTTTTGTAAAAAAAAACAACCAGCTGGCTGTTCGGCTGAAATTCAGGCAAACATTTTGGAGAAGTCATATACATAATGCTGCTGATCAAACAACAGTCTTAATAAATTGACGAGAAAACAGTGGGAAAGAGTCGCGCGTCAAAACAAACAGAGAGTCGTATCTGATGAATGCTGATAGATGGACGGCAGATACAGATACGGATACACACGAATACGGGCGCACAGCTGACACACAGAAAGAGCAGCGAGAGAGCGCACTCAGTCTTACGCTCTCTCCCGTTGCGCAGTTACACTCAAAACGGCGCTCTCCTGCTTTGCCGTTTCATATAAAGTCTACGCTAATTGCACGCAGACGGCCAGTCGCCAGACAAACTCACTTCACAACACATCGCCAAAAACACAAAGCTGGCACTCTGATATTTTATAAAATAAAAAAAATAATAAAGCTAAAACAATTATTTTTTATAATCCACCTAAAAAGCCAACAAGAGACTCGTCGTTAGTGAATTATATTAATTCGAAGAGCAAGACAACGCAACGCAGTGTTTAAAAAAGCCAATTACTTTGAGAAAAGCTCAAAATCGAAATCGAAATCGAAAAGCTCTGCGCCGGTCTCGTAAATCACACAAAAAGCTGAACCGTGAATTCAGTTATTGCTGAACTTTTGCCATACAAGCAGCACAAGCCCCGAAAAAATCGGAAGAGAAAAAAGAAAAAAGTGAAGTGCATACTGAGAAAATAGAGAAAAAAAAAAGAAAATCTACATACATTTTACCCAACTGTGATCCCAAAACATTTTACTACAAGTTTATTACAAAATCAAGCCCAACCAGTGCGAAAGTGGGAGAATCGAATCTCCAAGCAAACTACACTTTTTTAAGAAAAACCCTGCCCAGTCCAGTCAGAATTAAAACAAAGCCAAATATGATGGGCACTATGTCGCTGCGTCAGCCCGAGAACTGGCTCTACGAGATCTGGCAGAAGGGCTGCGACAGCCCCTGCTACGTGATGGTGCCCAATGCAAAAGTATGTATATCTCGGTGACATATCCCCCAGAGGTGTACACCTTACACCATCCCTGAACCCCTGAACCCCCGAGCCAGTTCACCTTGTCTCTAACCGAGACTAGATGCAGTTTTATTGATTTTTTCGTATTTTGGCTGGCCGTGTGAGGCTGCGCGCGTTTTCCTCGCGATTTCTGGCGACTTTTCAATGTCGAAATTGAGAACTGCCCAAAGGCAGCGAATAAATAAAGAAAAGAGTACATTTTCAGGCTATTTTCGATGAGAAATGATGGCCAGTAATGTGCAAAAGAACTCGCTTCGAGGGTCCTTTGTTCTTCTCAACAAAGGTACCTAAAGGACCCCCTGACAAGTGTACTCGAGACTCAAAAAAAAGAAGAAAAAAACCTCAATGTGGTGGCCGCCATGTTTGTTTGAGAAAATGCAGCCGAAAAATAAATCCAACCGAGAACATGAGAAGTGCATGAGATTTTGAGAGGAGAGACACCTCAGAGGCGCGTGACCTGACCCGTCAGCGAACCCAGCCCGCTTTTCTCCTCTCCTCTCCGGGTGTGTGTGTATGTGTCTCTCCCCTCAAGAGTCTACAATTAGCATTCCATTTTCCGAGATGGCTGTAATCCTCCACTTTCTTCACCTTCGATTTGAAAATAATGCCAAAAGCTGATAAAAAATATTTATTATTTTCGGCAGTGATCTACCCCGGGCCCTCCCCTAAAACGCCAGTCGTGTTCATTAATTTTTTGTGTGCTTTTGCACCTCATTGTTAACAACAAGTCGAGGCGGTTCGAACCGGTTTGCATTTGTTTGAAGCGGTTGCTCTTCGGAGCCCGGAGCTGCCCAATTTTTGTCCGCTCCGCGCTTTATTAAGTATTAATTTTGATTTCGGATGACTTCTAATTTTGGTAATTCGCTTTCTGCCGCCCGTTTTGCACTTATTGATCTGCCCAGCGAGGAGAGTCTAAAAATACGGCTGGGTATTTTTATAAAAATTATTTATTGGCCGCCGCGGAATAAGCGAAAAACGTGCAAAATAAAATATTCTTATGATTCGCGGCTCTTTTTGGCGCTGGTGCCAGAACATGCCACTTTCCGATGGCCTCCCATGCCTACGGCTCATGCTCATGTCCTCTGGGCCCCTATGACTAATGGGAGTGACGCTGCCACAGCACAGGCCCTCTCTGATTTTCATAATTTGTAGAATTATCTGAATGACGTACTTGGTGGCGACTGCAAGTTTCGGGATAAAAGTTTAGCGAGTGATTTCCCTTTTTCGATACTTTTACGGCGCATAACTTTTATTTTTTTATCCATCCGGCCTGGGAAAAAAATTCAGGCCACAAGAAAATGTCGAAAGAAATTGTTGAAAGTAAAGACGACGACGACGACGAAAGCCACGCCGTCGCATCCAAGTGGCAGCGAAAGAAGAGGCTGGCTATTTATAGAGATCGCATGTGGAAAGAGTCGAGACTCGAGAGTCGAGGAAAACTCTTTCGCAAAGCGGAACTGGCAAACTGTCGAGATGGCGAGCTGGCGGGTGTCCCCATGCCAGTTTTCCTTTCCTACCCCACCGACAGGCGGTGGAGCTCTATTGACATTTCCCATTTAATGTGAACTCGCAATGTGAAAGAATCTGAGGAACACGTGCCACCAACTGCACGGCCATCGAAAGGGGAGGCGAGGGGAGGGGGCGAGGCATGTCTGGGGCGATTATTCTAGCAAATGTTTAGGTTGGCTGGCGTGCACGCGTTTTCCTTTCGACTCTCTGCCTCTTTAATGGGTTTATTAAATTTTCACAAGGTACACACGGCCAGGTGAGCAGCCCCACAGCCCCCCAGCCCCACAGCCGCATTTCGGCTTTGTTTCGGTTTTCGGCCTGGTGACGTGTTCCACTGCCACTGCGACTGTGGCATTGACAATGACACGAACATATTTGGTTCTTGGGGGAAGCGTTTACACGCCAAATAATGAATAACGCGAATATCCCAGCCGAACACGCCACCTTGGGCAAACAGTGCTGGTTGGTGATTTATGAATGGCCCGGTCTGGTCTCTGAAATCCAGACAGAATCATCAGAAAATGAGTCAGCTGATCAGGAGTTACTATCTTATAGTCTTACTATCTTACTATCTTTTAGTCTGAAAACCTCCATCTAACCAATCCCCTTCTTTTTTTATTGCAGGATCTGGTCAAGTCGCATCTCATGATCGCCGTGCGCGAGGAGGTGGAAGTCCTGAAGGAACGCATCTCCGAGCTGATGGACAAGATCAACAAGCTGGAGCTGGAGAACAACATCCTCAAGTCGAACATCCCCCAGGAGACGCTGCAGCAGCTGCAGATGCAGCTCCAGATCGCCGGCAGCCAGCAGCCGGCAGCGGTGGCCGCTCCCCCGGCCACCCCAGCCATACAGGCGCCCCCCAGCGCCACAGCTGCCGCGGGCCAGGCAGTGACGGCCGCCGGAGCGGGACCGGCCACCAGCCCGGCCTCCGCGGTGGCGCCCACGAGCATTCCCAACGGCAGCGCCGAGAATGGCGGTGCAGTGAGCAGCGGCAACGGCGATGCTGTGACGGCAGTGGAGCAGCAGGTGGCACCGGCGGCCATAGTAGCAGCGGCGGCGGCGGCAGCGGTAACAGCTCCCACATCCAACGGTCCCATGTCCTAAGCAGCAGGACCAGCTACAGTGTTTGTTTTTTGTGCCCACTCCGCCAGCAGGATTGTGGGGAAAATGAACGTTTAAGAATGAAAACCGTAATGTTAACTCAGCTTTGTCTCTTTCTAACCGAGTGTGTGAGGGAGACGGAGCCGAGCAGAGCAGAGCAGAGCCAAGCAGCAAAGTATTAGGCCACATAGACAACAACACCAACAGCCAGGAGCGGCAGGATCTTCTGCTGCCGGGGCCTGTGGTGTTGTTGCTGGCTGTGAGAGCTGCTGCAGCCGCCGTTTTGTTAATTTCTCGATTGTGATATTTGTTTAGCACATACACACATACACACACCTGTATACCTGTACACCTGTACGCCTACAGACTTACACCAGCACTCCTGGAAACACCCACACCCTCATACAAACACACACATAGACTGCACGCTAACAGCGACTGCGGCTGGCGCTGTTAACAGGCGATTAGTAGGAGTCCTTTTAGGAGGCGCTGCTGCGCTCCCCAAGCTTTTGTTTTTGAAGATTTTTAGTTTTTTTTTTAGTTTTGTTTATCCGTTTGTTTAATTGCTGTTAACGCTATGAAATAAAAAAAGATATAAGAAAGCAACACCACACCCACACTAACTATGTAATGGCCTCAAGGCGATACTTGATCAAGTAGAGTTTTGGCCAGAAAGGATAAAAACAAGCAGCAGAGAGAGAGGAATCAATAACGTGTAATAGAGTGCATTGGAAAACAGATAGAGAATGATAAAACACAGACAGACCGACAGAGAGAGGAGGGAAATAAAAGAAAATATGTGATAATTTGCATTGTGCAGTCAGAGACATAAGATGTAAATTGTAAAAAAGCAAAAGCAACAAAGAAGAGGAGGAGGAGACGGACAGGAATGTAAAATTCAAATTCCCAAACATGTTTAATCTTGATCGATAACAAATACAAATAATACACTATATGAGAAGCCAGCTGCTATTTTTATAATTTACATTTAAATTCTACTTTTAATGTAAAAAACAAAACAAATAACTCAGCAAATATTAACTAAATCATAAATATGCATGTTTCTAATTAAAAAAAAAAAGAAAAACAAAACGTAAGCAAGACGAGTAGGAAATTGTAGTAATTCTAGAATATTTTCAACTCTATTTTTTAAATTGTAAAGTTACTCCCAAGCTACCCAAGGGAGGACAAGAGACACAAATGAAACGAATGCTTATCAAAATTCTTGTTAAACCCCGAAACTATCTGCAAGCCAAGACCCCAATTTAACTGTAAATATTGTGTAAACTAAAACTAAAGCTGAGAAACAAGCAAACGCTAAAGCTAAAGATAGCTTCCAAAGTGTTGAGGTGTTGCCAAGAACATGAATATGAAACAAACAAGAATAACAATAACAACATGAAAGCTAACCTTTTAAGAAGAAGCAAGTCGTCCTATTTCTGTTATAAATACTTAGTTGATAGTTTGCATTATCCTTAGTTTTGAAAACTTCTCGATTTTCATACGAAATCTGTTATAGGATTTTTTCCACATTATCCCCTCTTTTCTTACCTCCGCACTCGACACTACACGGACCGAGAAGATTTAAAGCCAAACATGAGGAACTGCTGCAGCCATGGTAGAAAAGTGTGACCAACTGAAAGGGCAAGGCTTTGGCGCTGGCCCGTCCCAAGTCAACCGCCCTCCCGCCCCGTAGACGCCAAGTTTTGAATCGCGACATTGCACTCAGCTAGTGGGGACAGTGACCTGCTCCCAAGAAAGAAACAAGAACACAATGCAACCTGCGGAGACTCGAATTGTCTAAGGATTGCGTGGAAATCGCCACCCCAAATGAAAAGTAAAGTCAAACTATAATACTCCGATTTCAAATGCACAAAACTAGCGGTCTACGGGGCTACGGCGACGGAAGGACATGCAGAGGAGCGGACGGACCGACAGGCAACGCCTTCCCCGAATCCTTAGTAGTTCAGTTGAAAGTATTCTTATGATTTCCATTTTCAAATCATGTTTAGTTTTTCTCCTCTTATCAGTTTTACCATTTAGGCCTCTTTTTAAGCTAACTATTAATTTATTAATTAGTTCGTAAGCGCAAAACCAATTAAAATAAATATAAACAACAAACTGCAAACAACCTATATTAAATTAATGGAAAAAAATAAAATTATATTGAAAACCAAAATAATACAAAATGTTTTATTTCAAAAGGTTGGGTTAACGGCCTATGTGAAGATTCGAATTGAATGAATTTATAAATTTATTTAATATTCTATATTTTATAGGTTTGTGTTAACTTTGAAATTATTTTATAGAATTGTTTATCTCCCTGTAGAGGGTATTGTAAGTTGAGAATGAGACATCTCCGATAATATAGTATAGTATAGTAGTATACAGTTTGTGTTTCTGAATGAGGATTATACCTGGAGTCGCTTATTCTGAGGATATTATTGTACTGAGGATTATTCTACCCTGAGGATAATACGTTGAGACGAACCATTCTTGTAGTTTCTTTGCACACATCTTTCTTTTATAAGTAGTATATATTAAGGATATTATGGCTGCCTATATGGCAATTCTACGATATTTTTAAATGTTGAAGGTTGGGACGGATTTCATCTTTGGTCAAGTGCACCAATTTACAATTCTGCAAAACTTCATATGGATCGGGAGTCAATATCCTGTAGATTTCATGAAACTAAACAACTGGAAAGCCACAACTTGTTTGATTTTTCAGATATAGAAGCTTGGATAGATATCAGCTTTAGAAGCTACTAAAATTGCCATAAGAAAAGTCCAACATGAAATATATACTGAAGAAGAAGAATTCGCTAAACTAAATTGCATCCAGAATAAATTAAAATTGTTGGTTCTCATACCTCAATTACAAAAAAAAAAAGAAACTTCGAAGCAACATGAGGCTGAAAGTATTAAACAATTTATCTACATACGTACTAGATAGTATGTATTTTACATGAAAAGTCCCACCAAGTATCCCACCTAAAAGTATGCTATGCTTTCAACAGTTTTATTTTGTACCTAAAATTTTGTATGTAATTATTTTGTTTGTTTTTCGTTTTTTACATAATAATCCCAACTGGAATTATAATTTTAAAGACTAAAAGTTAAATGGAAGATAACTTTATTTGTTCAACTTTATTATTTTAGGCATCTGGATGACGTTCTTAAAACTAACAAGGTAATGAAGAATGTAATACAAAATACTTTTATTTTAGCTTCAGAAATCCGTTTCGGGACTTTGCGGTCTCTGGTGGATCTCTGGTTCTCCGGATACTATGGAGTGTGGGGGTGAGGTGTCTGGAACTGGGGGCGGCACCTCCGAATGAACATACGGCAGTACGTTTGCTTGAGCTTTGGGCTGCTGGTTGACCACGACCGCCTCGTCGGTGTCCACTGTATCCTGGCCGCTCTCTGCCACCTGGCTGGGAGAATGGAAGGACTTCAGGGTGCTCAGTTGAGTGCGGACATCCGCCTCGGATAGGTGATGTACGGGAATATTGGCCGGTACAGCCAACCTCTTGGGACTGGTGCTACCGTCGTCCGGCTTGCGTCTGTCTGGCGGGAAGACTACCTGGGCGTAGGTTACCCCACTGGCATTTGGTTCCACAATACTCTGGGCTCCACCCGACGAGGTCGTAACCGAGCTGGGGTTCCGGAAGACAGTGGCTGGGTAGGGCTCTCTGTCCTCGTGAGGCGGCACATCCCGCCGCTGCATGGGGGAAGGAGATGCCACTGATGTCGTCGTCGTGGTTACAGGGCTCCCTCCCCTGGGAGCTGTCTCCGCGGCGGGAGTGTCTTCGTGGGGGATCGGAGCGTACAAGGAGGGAGTGTAGTTGTTGTCCGTCACCTTGCAGTTATAAAGGTTGAGTCCCTTGGCGAAGATAAACACCAGAATGTCGAACAGTATGCTGGCTAGGATGAGCGAGGCGGTCAGGATGTCCAAGATGTTTCCGTGTTTGGGGGTCTCGCGCAGCAAGCAACGCTCGTAATTGGGGGCCCAATAGACGCAGGTGGATCCTTCAAGAAAATATTAATACTATAATGTTTAAACTAGAATGGAGATAAAATACTTACGGGTCACCAAGTCATAGCTGAGGTGTACGGGAACGTAAGAAAATAGTCCCACGATCATAAGCTCAAAAGCCAGGGCCAGAGTCTTGTCTTGGGGCAGCACAGATCTTAAAGTGATCAGGGTCTTGCCGATGGCACCAACGCCCATCAGAAAGGCCACCGAAATGCTCATGATTTGGAACATGAGGATCGCCGACTGGCAACTGTTGGCGCTGCAGGCTCCGGCGGTGGCCCTCATCTGACCCTTGGCGTCCTGGGTTTGATCCCCACTGCAGCTGCAGCCCTCGTAGATCTGGAACGTGTTGATAGACGAGGTCTTGGAGCAGCCAGCATAGCAGGGGTTGAAGTAAGTGATCGTACTGTTCTCTGGGCAGACAGGCATGAATGCCGTGGGAGTGCAAAGGCACTGACTGGAGCAGTAGGGTTGGCTAAGCTTTCCACCCACCACGCCGGCAATGGCGCCCACGTCGCACTTCACGAAGATGAAGCCCACAAAAATGGCCACCAGATGGATGCTGAGGAACATGTTGATGCCGGTGATAGTGCGGGCCGATAGCTGAGCCTTAGAGATGACCAGACCACTGATCAGCATGCCCATAGCCATGACTGGGGGCTTCAGGAAGTACGAAACAAAGGCCGACCGCCATTCGTCCGTTAGTCCGTCCTGCTCGTTGTAGGGCAGGAAGAAGCGACTCTGCAGGTAGCTCTCCTCTTGGAGGCCGTAGTTCACCACTGCACTCTGAACGCACATGATGCTCAGCAGGTTGAACATAAGGAGCCTGTTATTGAAGAGCCTCTTCAGGGAAGGCCAAAAGTTGGAGTCGTCCAGGTAGGTGGAGAACTGGCTTCCGAAATTCCGCATCCTCGACTGCTCGATAATCCTCTGAGCCGCCTGGTGAATGACTGTCTTTGGAAGCCTCTTGGGAAATAGTCCCAGCTTCACGGCGCCCACAAAAATGAATGGGGCTAGGATCACCCAACCCAGCCACCAGCCCACGTGGGTCAAGCCCACTCCGAGCACCAAGAAGGATCCCATCTGCTGGCCAAACACGCGGGAAGCCAGTGCAGCTGCAATCACTGCCGGGCTATCCTGGGACAAGGAGTTGTCGTCGATGTAGCTCACTCCCAAGGTGTAATAGGCCAGTCCTCCCATGCCCAAGGCCAGCTGCAGGACGAAGAGCATCGTCAATGTGAGGGTGCTGCTTTGGGCCTCTGTGAGCGTCAGCTTCTGGAACTGGGCCAGCGAAGTGGCACACAGATTGGCATCCAGGACGGCATCTTTCGCCTTGGTTCCCTCGGCACTAAAATAGTAAATAATATTAGCAACTATGATGAAAGATATGGCATACTCACAAATTGATTATGGATGGAATCACTGCCACCACGCAGGTAACCGCTTGCAGCATCAGGGTGCCCACCAGCCACTTGATGGGGTGGTAGACGTCCGCCCAGTAGGCAAAGGCCAGCGCGAAAACTGCCTGGCACAGCCCACTGGTTACCAGAAGCCAATCTAGGTGGGTTACAAAATAACAAAAGTTTCTAAAATAGCTTTGGCCTTATCTAACCTATTGAATGAACCCGATATGACGTATGAGAAGGCGACAGGGGACAATCGAATTTCTCTTCACAACTACACTCATGAATAGAAGTTGGCAGCTGTAATGGTGGGAAATTCACTTCCGTTGACGGGGGTCTTGGGTAATAAGAGTTTGAGAAATTCCAGGAAAATCATAAAAGGATATTGTGAGTGACAAATAATTGACTTCTCTTGATATCGCAGTGAATGACGAATAAAGTAAACACTTTCAACAGCATAGGTTTCGTGATAGTGTAGTTTTTTCTTAACTTTTGTTATAAAAAAAAACGTAAGTAATGAGAGAGGAGTATTCTTTTTCATAGATGTACAAAATAAATGTATTTTTATAATCCTAGAAAAGTTATAACTAATTCCAAGAGTCCGACCCAAGTCTTGCAATAATAATAGTCTACTTAAGTCTACTTAACTGCAATCAACCTTCGTCCGGGTGGACAAGATGGGTACTAAATTAGCTTTCCTCTCTATTTTTACAGACACTTCTAATCGAAAATATAGCACAATGAGAATTCCCCACCCCCAGACCCAGGCATTCGTCAGCAATATCGCAAAACTGATAACGGAAAAATCTCCACGTAGAGCCGGGCCAGAACCTCGACATGCACAGCTTTTACGAGTTCCTCCACCGCACACATACGAGGGTTCGCATTTTCGCGATAAGCTTACTCCGGCTTACTCACCCACTATCAATGGATTGTAGTCGAACTGGAAGGCGGCCTGCTTGGCTGAAACTCGGAAATAGGCCTCGCAGGCGCCCTGCAGCATTCCGGAAGTGGCCAGGACTATGACAAATGTGCGCAGCCTGGCGAACTTCTGGCAGCCAGGGCCGCGGCACCATCCCAGACCCTTGATGCCGCAGTCCACACTATCTGGATTTTCAGGGAGAGACAATTCTTGATTATTCATTCGATTTCATTCTGATTTTTTGGGTCACGCACCATCGGGTATATTGTTGGCATTGACAGCTATCTGCGATAAATCGGAGCTGCGCGTATTCTGCGCCATATTCGTATTCGATTTCGATTTGTATTATTCACTATATTCACTTCACTTCACTGTACTCATTGGATACTACTGATGTACTTGTTTGTGGCCCTGGTTGGACCGATCGTCATCCCGCCGCAACGGAGCCAACGTCTATTCGAAAGGGGCAGCGAGAGCAAACTGAGGAGCATTGCTATGCTTCTTGGCCCAAAACCACCTGCCGCTCTTCCAGTCATCAGCTTGATAACAAAGTTATCTTATCGTCCGTTTGTTTTTTTCTCCACGGTGCTTAATTGCAAGTTTATTGCCACCGCTTACGCATACTCCTGGATCGAAAGGAACATGTTGCAGCAACAAGAGGCTAAACATGTTCATATCGTGAGATCGTAATTATCCGTCATATCTGTGAGTTTTCATACTAATTTTGGGTGGATTTCTCTGAACTCTGATCTAGATCGGACCATCTTTACTAAAAAAAAATAAAGTTTAAATACAATTTGGCTCTACGAAATAATTAGTTAATAATAATAATAATTTGTAAAAGCAATCGTGCTTAGTTGTATAAATAAAATAATAGATCCTTTAAATATTGAAGAAAGTAATTCTAAGACAGTAAAAAGTTGATATGATGATGAAGATTCCAGGGACTTTCTGTCCGTCTAATTTTACTAAAAATGTCATTTGAAGATATTATCTTATAAACACACCCTTTTGCTTTTGAATTATGGAATGTAGATTAAACGTCTGGAGACAATATTTTATAGCTGCCATATAAATGATAGGAACTGGCACAACCTTTGTGGGCAAATCAATTTTATTCAGGCCTAGAACTTTGACCAATGTTTAAATTACATTTTATTTTAAGTATATATTTAACTAAAAACGTTACAATTTAAGCACCAAAATAATTTTAATTTCGATTATTAATAAAATAATTTTAAAATATCCTTTTTAATTAGTTACTAAGTATTTGTAGACTAAACCTTATGGATGTCTTATATCTGAACGATCGGAAATTACATTAGATTACTAAAATACATATGTCCTTTAAAAATAATCTGTCAAACATCTTTAAGGGTATATAGACCTAAAAGTTAGCTTTCGTTTCATAACCCAACAGGGAGTGGATAGTATCTGCTGGATACTAGGTGATGCTCCGATGAGTTTTGAATCGAAACTGAGTTGAACTAAGTAATTATACTAATAATAAAAAAATGTGATCCTTTATAAAACCTAATCTATTTAAAAAAAATTTATAACTCTTGCTTTATATCTCAAACTTGTTTGGTATCGACAAACTAGAGAATTAAACGTCAAGACATATACAAGTATATGTAGCTCATGTAAAAGTTTTAAATCTCATAAAATGGAGATGTTCTACGTTTTAAGCCTCTTCTTGGGGCTTGGATTCTCCATGGTGTCTGCCAAATTGCTGAGCTCTCCGCCAGTATTGATCTGGGGTCTGGAAACGTGAGTTAAAAACTTCCAAAGATATTGAGTACCTGTTTGTTAAATAACCTTTCCGTAGCCCACCATCTCAGAGTCTTTTCAAACCATTAAAGAATTCGCAGTTCATCAGTATGATTAGAAGCTGGCAGAAGGACAACATGATAGTGGCTTATTTGGCATCAGAGGTGGGTGTCTCCCCGTTATATACTATTTTTTTAAGTATCCACAAGTTTACCATTAGCTGACCGCCAAGGACATAAACTGCGATGTCTGTTTTCCATACCTGGATAAGATCAAGCCTATGAACTTCTACACTCAGGTGGAGGAACCATTCCTGGCACTGGAGAAAGTGGCCAAAACCACAGAGGAAATGGTCTGGCATTACCCCACAATCTCGGATGTCTCTAATCTAGAGCTGGAAATGGAGATGCGTTGCCAAAAGGGGAAGATTCACAGCTTCGACCTGAGAGACAGAAACTTTTTGGCTCACGGTTGGTTTAAAACTCCTTAAGGTTGGCTTTCTCTCGTTAACATTAGATTTGATTTTTAGACCAGGCGATGGCCGTCTCCACGTATCAGTTCACTGACTGTCCTGTAGTGCATCTGTACTCGGCCTTCACGGAGGAATCGCACGCTTATTTGCGGCGCCAGGCTTCGAAAGAGAATTTGCCAACTGACAGCAAGCCGGAGCCAACTTCACCAAATAATTCAAGCCTAAGCGATGTGGTAACTAACACTGCCAACCTGACCATTCTGCGCCACGAACACGTTGTGGTTGCCTTCAACCGAATCGCACGCATCCAAAAGGACCGAAGGGGTTCTAGTGTCAACTTCAATACCACATACATCTCTATTGTGAAAGGAAACGACAGTTTGTCCCTGACTATGATCAATGGCAAGGACATTCTGCAGGGCATCGCAGTTGTCCTGGGGACAACTAGCGGACCTCTGTTGCTGGAGTTTTTGCCCGTATATGGTAATTGGTACTTGACTCGGGCAGTTTTCGAAGGAAACGAAACGTACCATCTTCGGGACTTGGTCTTCTTTTCTGACAGTTTCAGTCTATGCTGCGAAAGAATTAAATTCTTTTCAGCAAAAGATGGTCGAATGATTATGTACTCCTTTCACATTGATCTTGTTTCAAATGGTAAGTAAGTTGTAATTACATTAAAAGCATTGAAGACAATATTAATATAATCGTTAAGATAGGGTTTCAAGTGTGGGTTTCTTCCCACAAGAGGAAGTAATTAATTATGAAGTGATGATCTCTTGAAGCCTAACTTAAAAGCGCGCAAATGACACGACTTAAATTGTGGGGCTACTTTTAAAATTTGGTCCTTCGAGACCCCGAGTTCCTAATCAGAACTTTTTGGAGCTTCACCTAGTATGTCATCACAATATAATTTTTGAAATAGAAGTAACGATGTAGAATACTATTTATTATAAGAATATTTTAGTCAACAAAATATTTAAATTAGGTATATTTTGACTTTTGATTGGTATTTGGACTGATACGTTTTTAATTCGTACAAATTATGTAGGTACATTTCAAATTTATGGGTTTTTATTCACTTCATAATGTAAGATATTAATAAACAGAACACATTAAACATTTAGAATATTTTTTAATTTTCATATATATATGTTATTAATGATGAACTTTATCAATTTTATAAACTTTTGTTGTCTTTTTTTCAGAGAATCAAAATGGCCTGGACGAAAACTACGTGGCGAAGGAGTGCTGGACCTGCTCCCAGTTTATCACTCCGCCCCTGGCCCAGATCACGTTCATCACAGCGTTCATGCTGGTGGTCCTGACCATCGGCCTGTCCCTTCTGTGGGGAATAGGAAGGAATACCTTCGTTCAGAATATGCAAGAGCCGCCGTTGCACATCAAGGCTGACGCTTGAACTGTTGTGGCAGCCCTCGGTCCGGCCTGTGCAGTGCCCGGTCTACATTCAACACATTCTGCTAATTCACTTGCTTACAATTCTAATCGCATGAGCCGGGGGTCGGTGGGTCGTGTGGGTCGGTGGGAGGGATTAGAGATCGTAATAATAATGTCATTGTCGCGTTCTTTTATTGTCGGTTCTATATTGTCATTGCGATTCCGCCTAAACTCTCCACTCTCCAAGAGGAAAACAAAGAGCCACAATATAGATTCTTCGTTTTACATTTCTTGTGACTTAGTTCCCTCCTTTGAGAAACCTCCAAAAATTCTAGTTACACGTGGGTCCGAAATGAGAGCCATCGGCAACGGCAACCCGACTGGATCCATCGGGTGGTAGGGTCTTTATCGCCTGATAAAGCTTTATCAGGCTTCGATTGGCGGCGGCGGTGACCAGCTAGACGAGAATATCAAATTTCAGTCTTTAGTTCAACTCGCGCCTCGATTCTGAGCGGATCGGTTCTCACCTGCTACCTGCCTCCTGCCGCCCGCCACTAACCACTTGCGAATAGCCAACGAAAACCTCGGTATCACCAAACGATTGAGGCGTCCTCCTGTTGCTCCTAGCTGGAACAAGGAGCGCAAACGGCAATTTAATTAATCGCCCAAGTGCCGATTAGATTGTACTGAAAAATAAACGAGTGTTACTATTCGACTGCTGATAATATGCGCATTGTATAGGCCGTCCAGAAACGTACGTACACCTGTCTGGTAATCTGATTATGGTAGATACGAGGGCGGCATTCGTCGATCGGCATTGGGGTAGCCCGTCAAGCTGAAGATATGAGTCTTTTGTGCTAAAATGGTGTCCTTGGTGTCCTAAGACAAAGAAAGCTGCTGATCTTGAATGTATTGTGGAAAATAACAGTGTATTGTGATAAAATGATGTCCTTGCTTTCCTAGCCCTTGAATATCTGAGTGTTTTAATGAATAGATAAATATCTTGAAAAGGAATACATGTGTCACCACTCTCTTCCTTAACGTTGCCAATTTGGTAATAATTTCCATCTTTTACCGAGCGTGACAGCACAAATTTACAACTCAAGAGCCCATAAATGAAACATTTTTGCTAAACAGTTGCTTGAGATTGATAAAAATAATGGGTGGAAAAATGCATTTTTCTAAGAATTAACTCACTGAAAGGCAGCAAAGCAATAAAGAACCTCACCATTATCTGAGTCACAAAAGAATGGTGATTCCGTGTTGTAATTAAACACATAACATTAATAATATTGTTGTTTGAGTTTGTGAAGGACTGAAAACCCGAGTTCATTATACTGATATGAGCAAAGGACAATGAGTTAAAATTTTACATATACTTTATCAATTAGAGGTCAAGAGCTCGGAACTCTTTATACTGTTGTCGATCTAATTGCCTCAACTATGTTGATTGAAGAGTAGCTGGGAGGTAAAATATTGTTTGTCGTCAGGTAGGAATATAAATGTCAAGGACCATAACCATGACTAGGTCGGTGGTGCCATCTGGACATGATCTTTCAACTGGTCATCGTTACACAGGAAAATGTTAGTATTTTATGGAACAGTACCCCCAATCATTCAGATATCCTATACTTGCGTAGGTAAACAGGTTTATCTAATCGCCCCGACCAAGACCTAATGTGATCTTGAGAACAGTTGCCTTTATCGATTCGCCGAATTTCCATTTATATGCCCTAAACTGTGTACGAAGATTTGCGGGATTGGAGAGTCACGATTACGGAAGATATTCTCTGTCCAACCAGCGCGTGGCGAAATTCAATAAGGGATTCGAGATTCTTTCCAAGAAGTCTTGAATCTATTGATAATTACAATGGTCCCATCTGAATCAACCCTTTCCAGACTAGATCACTATCTTATCGAGGGAAGCCGATGGACGATTGAGTTCCAACAACAAGACACTATTCAAGCATTCCAAAAATGACGGAAGTTAAGCGACGGGGATCCCTCCCCCCACCGGGCAACCACCTGTGCGGCATGGCCAACTGGCATCCAGCCTGGCTGCAAAAATACGCCACCACCAAGATGTTCATGGGAGTTTACGGATTGCTGGGCACCATTCAGGCCATGTCCTATATGTACTTCATCGTTACCCTGACCACGCTGGAGAAAAGATTTAAGATACCCAGCCAAACGACAGGTAATAACAAATACAATGAAATCTTTACGATTATTGAATAATACCCAGTAATAATTACCTAATAACCCATATAAGACCAATAATGAGAGCAAAGACTCGCGCGATTGGAGTCACGATTAGGGAAAGGACTCGTCGTCCAGAGTAGATTATAAATTAAAAAAAAAATTAATAAAATATTTTGCAACAATTTTGTTTTTTAGTTATTTTTTTTTTGAAATATTTAGTATTATTAATTATTAACTTTTATAATTAGTTATAGTTTATAATTTTGTAGAGATAGGCTTAGAAAGATTCTGCACAATAATTTTATAAGAAAGTATTTTTACTTTAATTATTTTTTAAAGTATTTAAAAAAAAATATCCCTAAATAAACAGGAACTGTATAAAAAATTTTTTTTCTTGCAGGAATCATCCTCAGCGGCAACGAAATCTCCCAAATCATGCTCTCCCTTATCCTATCCTATATCGGCGGTCAGCGGAATCGCCCTCGGTGGATAGCCTGGGGCATAGTGTTTTGCGGCTTGTCCTGCTACATTCTCGTCCTGCCACACTTTATCTACGGAGCTGGTCACGAGGTGCTGCAGTTCACCAAGGAGTACCAAGAAGGCCTTCTGAATGGCAACTCCACTACGGGACTACCTGTGCTGGTATGTTTTCTACATCAGGTGTCTTACCACCCACTGACCTGTGACGTGTTTCTTGCAGAATGTAAGCTCTGCCCAAAGTGAACAGCTTTGTGGAGCGGGAAAGAAGGAAGAGGACTGCGATGACCTCTTCAGCATTGTGCCCTTGGTGCTCATATTCCTCTCGCAATTCGTGCTGGGCGTGGGCAATACCATGTACTACTCCTTGGGTCAGACCTACTTGGATGACAACACCAAGAAGACAAACACCCCTTTGATGCTCTCCGTGGCCATGGCTCTTAGAATGGTTGGTCCAGTTGTGGGATTCTTTTTTGGTAAGCTTAAGATGATTATTGAAAGGATTTCTTTTATCAAATGTGTATATTAGGTTACATCTCACTGAACACCTTCATCGATCCCAGCAAGACCCCACTGATCGATAAAAAAGATCCCCGTTGGCTGGGTGCCTGGTGGCTGGGCTGGGTGATCTTGGGCACACTGATGTGCCTTTTTTCTGGCCTGATAGGGCTTTTCCCGAAGCAACTTCCCAAGGCCAATGACCCGGAAAAGACCAACTCCCACCTGCCGCTGGCTCTCCGCCAAACAAAGGACGAACTGAAGCGAGAGGAGAACCTATCCGTGAGCAGTCGCTTCTCCTCCAACGCCGCCCTGGACAATATTGGAGCGGCTGCGGGAGCTAACTCGGAGCTACCAAAGCTGAAGGACTTCCCACGTGCCCTCATGCGCCTCTTGCGTAACAAGCTTCTGATCTTCAACATCCTGTCGGGAGTGTTCTATATCCTGGGAGCCTCGGGATTCATGACCTTCCTCACCAAGTACATGGAGGTGCAGTTCCACAAGAACTCGCAGGAGGCCACAATTGTAAGTGACGCCACCAAGAATACAACCAAAAAGGTCCTTTGAGCTTAAAAATAACTTCCATTTTAGATCGTTGGTCCTGTGTCCATTTTGGGCATGGTAGTGGGTCTTATCGGATCTGGTTTGGTGTTGTCCAAGAAGAAGCCTCATGTGAGCAAGGTGCTAATTTGGAACGTGATCGTGGGCTTCATCTACATCCTGGGAAATATATCCTATGCCTTCCTCTACTGTCCAGACTCCTTCTCCATGACCCATGTGGGGCAGTAAGTGTTCAACATCAAACTTTACAATATCTGAAAACTGATGGATATGTTTTCTCAAGACTTAACCTGACGAGTGATTGCAACTCCAACTGCACCTGCAAAGACATCAGCTACACCCCAGTGTGCCACGAGCCTACGGACACCACCTTCTTCTCGGCCTGCCATGCCGGCTGCCGTGGCTACAATGCTACGTCCAAGCTCTATGAAGACTGCAGTTGCCTGGCCAACTCAAATTCCCCGCCGAGTGCTGCGGAAAGGTTCATACAACTATTGGAACCCACACCAGAACCGGAATGGGAGAGTACTACGGTCTTAGGGTTCGACCAGCTCCCTCTTCTGAATGACGACAACGATTTCATCAGTGAGCCGATGTCCCGCAAAAAGAGGGCTGTTCCTGAAGAGGTGGTACGACCAGGAATCTGCACGAAGAACTGCAGTTGGAGCTTCTGGGTGTTCTCAATAACCTCCATGGTGATAAACTGGTTCGGCTCCTCAGGCCGCGTGGGCAATGTCCTTGTCAACTACCGCGCTGTCGCGCACGAGGATAAGTCCTTTGCCCAGGGCTTAGCCTTGATGATGATCAGCTTGTTTGCCCTCATCCCGGGACCTATTATGTTTGGACGCCTCATAGACTCCACGTGCTTGGTGTGGTCCCAAACATGCAATGGAAGCGGGAACTGCCAGTTGTATGACCAAACCCGGTTCCGTTACTCTCTAAACTTCCTGTCCTGCGGTGAGTTGTATTTAAAAAGTGGATCATGTTTTTATTCTAAAGCTTCTTTTTTTTCGGCAACCTAGTCCTTACATTCATCGGCATGTTCTTTGACATCCTGGTTTGGTACTACGGCCGAACTCTGGACATCTATGGAGACAAAGAGATCAAGGAGGAGGAGCGCGCCAACAGAAGAGACCAACCCATTACCCCGCTCTTGGCTAAAAAGAACCAAAAGGAGGAATACTAGTAGGCTCTCTACCCCCCGCCCGTGATACTCAATTCTAAGGAGTAGAAAAAAAAAACAAAAGTTTTCCCAATACCGTATTAAAGCACTTTCCCGGAGAAAGTTTCCTGGGAAAGAGGTGAAGACGTTTCGGGAAGATGACCTATAACCTGCAGCCATATGTACAAACCATCCGTTTTTTCAGTAGGATAGTCACCATACCATGTGCATGTTGGATAAACTTTGTAAATGTTTTACTATTTAAGAATAAATGACATACTGCAGTATGGTTAGTGTAATATAAATGAAAGAATTTATTTGTATCTATTACTGTGAATAAACAAAAATATTTTAAAACGGCTTGTTTTCATGTTGTAGATCATAGCCCCAAAAAATTAAAAGCTAATTAAAATATAGTTTTTTTCATTTATATTTTCTTTTTTTATTTGTTCCTTTTCATTTCATTTATTGATAAAAAATGTTTCAATTTATGCAGATCGTTTTTGGTTTCTTTTCCTTTTATACGTGTTGTATATGTTTAATAATAATACATTTAAATTTCGTTTATCTGTATAAATATTCCCGCTTTGTTTTATAATTACTATTATCCGATCGCTTCTATTTGTCAATGGCAAAGTGTCCGATTCCCGGTCTGTCTCAGTGTCGCGTGTCAGTGTCCATGTTTGTGTTGAAGAATTATTTTAAATAAGTTCCCGCGTAGTCAACAATTAAATCGCACTTACTATGCTACTATATGAATTATTTATTTCTCGAGTTTCGATTCTTAGGAGGCTGCAAAGCGTTCAAGCAGATTTGATATCCTTCGATTTGAGTGTTAGTCAGTTAATTAAATTAACTTGGATAGGGCGACTGGATAACGTCATAAATCGGCATTACTATGATTAGTTAATACAATTGTCTGGTTAAGGGGCAACAATTTTTGATTTTCGGTTAACAAAGACTGGAAGGAGAGGGAAGAGAACTACTCATGAATGTTTTGAAACCGCCTTGGTCCAGGATCTGGATGAGTGTGGTTGAAACAAAGGCTGGGTAACGAAATGAAAAAGTTGTTCATCGGTTTTTGGTTTCTGCTTAATAGCAAAAGGCATTTATTATTTTTTCAATATCGGTTTCGTGTCTCAGGTTCAACTCTCACGAATTCTTCAATTAACTAAATTATAAGAAAATGAAATGTTGTTTATGCAAAAATTAAATTGGTTTATCAAAGGATATTCAATTAAGATTAAGGTTAACAATTAAAGATTACGTAGTTGATACATGTTTCTCTGTTTCTGATTCTAATTGCGTTTGCTAAATACACCAAACGACTTATCATTTTGAGCTTACAAATCAAACAAACTGTACTTCATGATTTTAAGCTTAAACTTAAATTAAAGCATTTAGATTATATCGTGTAAAAAACAAGAGCTGAAATATCGTAATGTGTTTGCGGGACATCTAACAAATTTGCAATTTAAAGGCGCGTACAGGAAGCCGAATGGGAAGAGAGCGGCTGGATCCGCGGCGGAGCCTGGCAGCTTGCGTCTCACTTCTACGAATACAAAAAGGGTAGCTTGCAGCTGTAGTTTAGTTCTTAAAAAAATTCGCGACTTGAGCGCGGTTAGGCCTGCATGTGTTGGGCGTGTAATCCTTATATTTTATACAAAAGTAATAAACGAAAGTATGTATACCGATGGCGGCTACCAATGTTCAATATTCTCGATAATAGGCCTCAACAAACGGAATCAAGTGTAACCTATTCGTGCATCATCAATTATCATTCCGGCTCGTCTCCTACTCCCTCTCTTGCATACATAGTCGTTTATATACGAACGAGTGTTTTGTGTATATATAAATAGTTCATCATTCTTTTTCGCATTGGCTTCCGGTCTGTTGTATAGTTTCACATAATATAGTTAATATTTTGTATATAATGCGTTTCTGTTTTCATCTCTTCTCCGCCTGGCTACTCGTTCGAGTAGTTAACTAACTTTCAATTTGCCCGTTTAATAATGCACACTACCTTCATTTGCCATCAGTTAGGTCTAGGTTTTTCTTCTGTCAGACACCTAACCGATTTCCTCTAACCAATGTATAAATTTCTATTGCTGGTAGGTATGGAGTAAAGTAACCACATGTGTGTAGGAGTACGAGTGAGGGTTTGCTGCTGGGTGTGTGGTGGTGAGTGAGTGGTTGTCAATGATGAAGAAAGCGTGGCGTGGCGCTGCTGTTTCTGTTGTCTCTCGTCTGGCGTGCAATGCTATCTCAAAAATCGCAGTGAAAGGCGGGCGCTTGAATTTAGCTTGGCTCAATTTATTCGACCACCTTTAGTACCTTGCCAATAGCAATGGTTTTATCTGAAAGGAGCAAAATTTATTATTAATTTGTATTAAAAAAGGGATTTTGCAGAACCTACTTTCATCTCTGAGCGTGAACCGACCCATTTGGGGGAATAGCTTAAACTGTTCAAGGCAAATCATTCCGGAGCACTCGATGCGCATGATTGCGACCTGATCCTGCTTAACGAATCGTGGACGTGTTTTTGATTTCTCGCCAGTCTTTTTGTCGACCAAACATATGAGGGCCTGTAACATTTTGAAATGCACATACTATAAGTACTCTTCAGTAACTATTTTCAAAGAATCGCTCACCTTTACTGTGACCTCCTCGGCGGCGCAGTGTATGTGCATGACAGCCGAGTAGCCTGCGCAGATAATTGATTTGTGTTCTAAGATTACGACCTGAGCATCAAAGATTTTTCCCGTCTTGATGGGATTAGTGGCATCACAGAGCACAAAACCAGGTGAAACATCCTCTTCCTCGATGCCCTAGGAATAAAATTATGATGATAGTATCAACCAAACTCCAACCCAATGTACACTTACTTTCAGTTTGATTTTGACGTTCTCACCGGGACCCACAGATGTGACTTCATAATCGTCGGAGAACAGCTGGTCAACTGCCACTGACGTCTAAAAGGATAAAAATTAGTAAAACATTCAATCGGTTCTTTGTTTGCAAACCAACCCTGTTTGGCATCACCAACAGATTTTGACCCTTCCGCGCCGTTCCAGACTCCACCTTGCCCATCACAACGGTGCCCATGTCCTTGTACTTGTCAACAATGGGCATAATGAAGGGACCGTCGGACTTGCGGTTAAGTGACGGCAGTTCATCGATGAATGGAATGAAGGCAGGCCCCCGGTACCAGGGGCACAGCGTCTCGGGGATCTGATCCTTTAGGCCGTAGCCGCTGAGGCCCGAGCAAGGCATGAAGGTAAGGTCCTTGGCCGGGTTGAAGCCCAGCTTCTTGAGGTATGGTAGTATTTTGTCTTTACATTCGTTGTATCGCACCTGATCCCAATTAACCGTCGGATCGTCCATTTTGTTGACCAGCACGACCAGGTGCTTGACGCCGGCCGTCTTGGCCAACATGGCGTGCTCTCGGGTCTGGCCGCCACGATCGAAACCTGTCTCGAATTCTCCCTTTCGCGCCGAGATGACCAGCACCGCGAGATCGGCCTGCGCCGCACCGCCGATCATGTTCGGCACAAAGCTCTTATGGCCGGGCGCGTCCAGGATGGTGAAATGTTTGCGTTCCGTCTCGAAGAAAGCACGTCCCACCTCGACAGTCTTGCCCTTGTCGCGCTCCTCCTGGTTGGTGTCCAGCGCCCATGACAAATACCAGCTCTCACGCGACTTCTCGCGAGCCTCCCTCTCGTACTTCTCCAGTGTCCGCTTGTCAACCATTCCTGTGAGCGACATAATCTGTCCACCGATCGTTGATTTTCCAGCATCTGGAAACGAGATTCATTTTAAATTCTGATGATTCGTGTTTTTCTAGGTATTGACTTACCAACATGGCCAATAAAGACAACGTTCACATGCTCACGCTTGCTTCTGTTTTCCTCCCCCACCTTCACCACCTTCTTTTTGGAGACCTTGGGCGTGGCCTCACCCTCTGCGAACTCCGCATCCTCAACTTCCTCGTCTTCTGGTGTGATCACTGCGTCTTCTTCTACGTCCCAGCTATCAGCGGGATCAGTTTCTGAAAGAAAATAAACACACAGTGAGCTGTCGCCAAAGTTGGGGGAATGTCGTTCGAAGTATTATCTGAGGAATTTTGAAATCAGAGGTTCGAAATCGGAGTACACAGAAATGTTAGTAAAAATAATATTGCTATTTAGAAGCTACCACATCTAATAATCTAAGAATTTTTATTTTTCAATGAGCATGGAATAGAAACAACAGCTTCCAGAAAACAAAAACAAGATACTTTATCTCAAAATACGACGTTAATAATTATCTCGTGCTCAACATCCCCCAAAAGCACACTATTGAGAAGAGCTGCCACATTGCATGCACTTGTTGATTTTGACCTGTCAGCCACATGCTAATTGGTAATTTGTGACTCCCAGACAACTTGGGGGTCAGATGAGTCATGCGGTGAGGAAGGTGAGTGTCGGCGACGTGCTACGATAAACGTGTTCTGGTGCTGGTGTGGCGAAAGTTTTCATAGAAGGGTAGGACGATTAGCCAGGAACCCAAACCTTTTCAGCCTACGATTACACATTCAGGCTAGCGCTGCTGGATACCAACGATGGGAGATGACTTAAACCTCGATCCTTTCTACTAACTTTTTCCCCGCGCAAGCTTGGACCGAAATCTCTGGGCATTCTTGTTCATAGCTACGATTCAAACACGTATTCAAAAGAAGGGAAAATAGCGAATCCGTGAGTTACGATCGCGCGGCTTCGAAAATGCTGGCAGTCGTCGCAGACTTTTCGTTCCGACTGCTTAACATTTTTTCGGTTCAGTTTGGCTGCCGCGGAGAGGGAAATCGAGTTCAAAGCGGTTACAACCGCCGGCGTGCTGCAGTAAGCGCTTCCATGCGGCCCAAACGGTCGCCCAACAGCCCAAAGCAACAAGCGAATGAGCGTTGGCAGTAACGAGTGAACCATCTGATCCGGCATTGGAATGGCAATTGGTAACAGTCCGACCGGAGAATCCGGACGCAGCGCAGGCCCCGATGAGCGCTACCAAAACAGCAAACGTGTCAAAACACATGAATGGAGCGTGGCTGGTGAGAGTGTGTTGGTGGAGAATGGGGGAAAATGGCCAAATAGGCGAGGGAGCCGACCGGGAGTAAAATGGCAGCAAACAGCTGCTTGCCTGCGTTTCCGGGTGAATGGCAAAAGTGCGAGTCTCTAGAGATGCTCTGTGAGTGTAAAATGTTAGTTTGCAATTCTGGTTATAATAATGAAGACAACAGAAGATTTTGAAATGAAATGAATAACCATTTAAATAGTGCAATAAAATTATTTAAAAACAATAACCTATAACGATGATAATAAACGCGGATATTATAGACATCTTATAAGCTGCATAATCCCAGTGAATAAAGTAGTTTAAAATATCAAACAAAAAAAACAGTGAAAAGTGAAGATATTTAGGTTATCGAATGAAATATGTAATACGAACATATGTTAATCTAACAGATTTTGAACTTCATAAGCTAATTCAAAAGGTATAAAAAGCTAACAAGTGGTCCCTAGTGTCACTGGCAATAAAGTTAAAAAAAAGTTTCTGAAATATACCATTGTGCAAAACAGTGACACTCTTTAGTCACGTATTTCGCGATCTGCGCATCTCTGATTTCAAACTACATACGTTGGCGACATGACGGCGTGAAAAGTTGCCGCAAAAACCACCGTATTTTGGCAGCGTTAAGGGGCCTGGCTTTGGCAATTAGGAGCTGGGACTGCTTCCACTTTAAATTACAAATATCGGGTGCAGAGAGCAACACATGCGATGCCGACTGCAGAGCCACCTTCGAGGCACATTGAGGTTATGTGCGGGCGGTAATAACCTAGCAAATGCAACCTTTCGCTCCACTTCACTTCTCTTTCTTCTGCTCCTTTCTTTTCGTGTCTACTTTATGTTCCAGCAGGTAGCAACAATAACATTCTTTGTTGACGTCACAGTGGAAGGGTTCAACGGACGTGGGGAGTAGGAATGTGGAGGGGGCGAGTGGGGTCGGCTATTTACCATTGTTTGCAGTTTTGTCCGATGAATTGATGTTCTCCACGGGAGCCGCCGCGGCTGTTTTTGAGGGCGTGGTGGCGGGCGAACCCTGAAGAGGTGATGCGGAATTGGAGGTGGAAACCGTGGCTGTTGGAGCAGCAGGTGCTACCGCGGCTGCCCCCGTTCCCGCTGCTGCCAGTGCGTTTGTGGATCCCCCGCTGCCGGTGGAATCGGGGGTTGTGGCTGGTGTGGCGGATCCAGAGGCGGATGCAGATGCAGTGGCACCCGGGCCGGGATCCGTTGCCCCACCGACTACAGAAGCAGGCGGGGGCGGCGTCTCTGGCTGCGTCGCCGCCGCTGCAGCCACGCTGTAACTGAAACTGGGGACAAATTCCACGGCGTTCACGTTCAGTGTGGAGAACTTTGTGGTGATTTCGGTATTTTCCTGGGCAGCCATCGTTGTGGATTCCGTTCCTGTTCCTCTACCGTAGAAAATCTCTGGTTTTTTCACGCGACACACTTTCGCCCTCCTGCAACTTCTGCGCTCTGCTTCTTCTTGCTTCTCCCGCACTCACACAAAACACACGCGGTCGTTCCGGATCGTATTTGTAATCGTTTTTAGTTTCGTATCGGGAATGGCACAAAAACACAAACGCCACAAACGGTACAAAAGGGGGGCGGGGCGGCTTAGGTTAAGGGGTTTTGGCCAGACTTTCTTTCGGTTAAATGTTAGGCCAGTGTTATTTATTGTAGTTGTAACCTGGCCAACTATGTTGGATAGTGTTGGTTTTCAAGTTATCGAATATCGCAAGTAGCGATTCCTAGTTGACTTCCAGGAGCGGTTTAATATTCTTCAACTTTAAATGCAATTCCTTTATTCAGCAATTGCCTGTTATTTTTACACGTTTCAAGCCACGCATGGAGATAGGGTTGTCACAAGAAAGTTAGCTATCGATAACTCTATGTACAGTGGAGATACACTAAGGCCAAGATTAACCATGGGAATGTTTAATTCATTGAATTCTTAAAATAATCATTGCATATTGGAATTACTTAAAAAAAAATAAATCCGAATATTTTTCTTTTTTTTACATAAATCTTCCTAAATATAAGCTGCATCTGTTGAAACATATTTTTGTATATCACGAAATGCGGTTTTCATCAGAATGTTATGTTTTTTTCTAGTTTATGTAATGCATCCATATATAAATTAGGGAATCAGTTTAAAATATCTTTAAATGGAATCTGGAGCCTTGCGATATTTAAATAATTTTTAACACATGTGCCATGGACAACTCCGATAGTAAGTGACAACTTTTGTTATCGATACTAGCTAGCGATGGGGGAAGTCATTAAACGTCAGACGTCACTTGGTGGACGCCATTGATTCAGAAAACGTAAATTTGTCTGCCGAGAAAAATCAAGCTTCCAGGAAAACGTTTGATCCGCGTGTAAATTGAATACCCACTTCACCATGAGCAACGGCGGAGGATTAGGCGGTGCTCGTCCGCCCCCCAGGATTGATGGCATGGTCTCCCTAAAGGCAAGTATAAGATTGTGTGGGAAGAGAAATTTCGCCTTCAAAATGGCGGCCGGCTGGCAACGTTTTTGCCCCGGTTAGATAACCTCTGTGACGGCATGGACCAAAAGCAAAATAGTTTAAACTTCTTTATTTCGTGATTAGGTGGACAACCTCACATACAGAACCACACCGGAGGACCTGCGTCGTGTTTTTGAGCGCTGCGGGGAGGTAGGAGATATATACATACCCAGGGATCGTTACACACGCGAGAGCCGTGGTTTCGCATTTGTGCGGTGAGTTTCCAGTCGGCTAAGAGTACTATTCTGTGTATGGTTTTAAACGCTTTACCTTTTAGGAAACCTAAAGTGTTGGGTATTTAATTAATATATTAGTTAATATGCATTATTTGCCTTAATTGAAAGTGTGCCAACAACATTCGGACACTTTCGCTTGCAAACGATGCCAGAGGAATTGTGTTCCCTTGCAACTGTTGCCTACCAAATCCCTACTAGCCAACATACTGAGAATACGACAAATCAACTAGAACTAATCAATGAAACTTAGTAACTCTGAGCATCATCTGCTATTATCATAATTGTACCAAACAGTATGGTACATTTTTATTCGCAAACGGGTGCCAGAAAAATTGTGTTCCCTTGCAACTGTTGCCTACCAAATCCTTACTAGCCAACATACTGAGAATTCAACAAGAGTACTTAGGTTACCATATTGAAGTATATTTTCTTGGAATCCATTCCTTCGGCTTCGACCGAAGATAGCTTTTCTTAACTTGAAAATTTAGTTAAATTGAGGAAATGAAAAATTATATTCCGCATTATTTGCTATATTTGAATGTGCATCAGCCAAAAGTCTGTACATATTCGTTGCAAAAAATGCCAGATGAACTGTTTTCGCTTGCAACTGTTGCCTACCAAATCCCTACTAGCCAACATACTGCGAATCCCACACTCTGTAACTTATTTCAATAGATTTTAGTAAATTGCAATTTGCACATGTCTCATAAGCCTCCTGTCTTCCATTATTTTAGCTTCTATGATAAACGTGATGCCGAGGACGCACTAGAGGCCATGGATGGACGCATGTTGGATGGAAGGGAGCTCCGTGTTCAGATGGCCCGCTATGGTCGCCCTTCGTCTCCGACTCGCAGCAGCAGTGGGCGTCGTGGAGGTGGAGGAGGACCAGGTGGCGGCCGTCGCCGCTCTCGTTCTCGCTCCCCGATGCGCCGACGCTCGCGCAGTCCACGCCGCCGTTCTTACTCGCCACGGTCTCGTTCCCGTTCGGCGGGCAGCCGCTCGCCGGAGCGCCGCTCCAAATTCTCACGTAGTCCAGTGCGTGGCGACAGTCGCAATGGGGTAGGAGGTGGAGGATCGGGACTGGCCGCATCTGGTTCCCGCAGCCGCAGCGGCTCCTAAATAAGATTAAAACGTTCCAATTGTGGAAGTGCGAGGTAAGCAATAGCATTTTAATAAAGTACTTCCTATTTATTTAAATTTTTAAACAACTTCCGTTTTTTCAGACGTTTCTCGCTGACAAAGCCGGATTCCGTTGCCGTGTCCGGATCCGTGGCTTCACATCCTGTGTCATGCTGTACCCGAACAGCAGGTATACAAACCATTGAACAGTCTTACACTTTACACAACTATTTATAGCGAACTATTTTAAGTTTCGGCGGAAAAACAAAACGGTAGAGAGAACGCATGATTATGGTGAGGGGTCAGCACCCGCATCTGGCGGATATCCCTCGATAACTGGTTCTTTCCAATTAGGCTTTTGATAACACTTAGTAGCATAGTAGAGATGCTTGAACAAAACAAAAACTTAACAAAATAAACTCGATTTAACACGCAAATAAGCACTGAGATCGTGAGACTCAAGATATCAAGATGAAGGAGGCGAACGAAGGTGAAGACAGGTTGCAGATTTCAGATTGCAGATGAGAGCGCGAGATAGGGTTGTCCAATAAGTTTGTTTCGGTTGTGTTGCTCGTTGCGTTTCCGTTTCCGTTCTTTGTACCAATGTAACGACAAAACTAATTAACAAGATTCTACCACATGTTTATTATGTACATGCAGGAAAAGGAAAAGGTGTGTGGCCGTTGGTGCGGTTCTGATAAAAGATTGTAATTAAATCGCGAGGGAGGCAGCAGCGAGCGCACCATCTCCACCTCCGTCTTCCCGGGAGCGGACATCACGTGGCTGTTGTTGCTGCTGCATCTGCATCTGCTGTTGCTGTTGCTGCTGCACCCCTGTTCCTGCTCCCGTTGCTGCTCCTGCTACTGCTGTTGCTGTTGCCGTTGCCGCCGTTGCAGTTTCCAGATAGCCGCTGCCACAGTCACTCCACTCCATTCCTGCTGCCCCCAGCTACAGCTTCTGGGAGCTGGGAGCTGGGCCGACCTCAACCGGGCGGCTAACCTGTTGTTTCCCGTTTGCCGTTTCCTGTCACTTCTTCTCCTGTTCTCGCCTCGTCTCATCTCGTCTCGTCATTTGTTGCTGGTTGGCGTTGTTGGTGGTTTCCTGTCTGTTGGTCTGGGCTAAATCGGTTTGGGCCCCTTTGAGTTTAGGCGCATAAACTTTTCCAGCTGAGCCGTTCATGTCGAAGATGATTTGGAATAAATACTTTATTGCTTTTACTTCTTCACGGCTTCTTTTGATTGGTGAGTACAAGACTAACAAAGTTCCTTTCCAGCAAAAAATGAAATAAAAAATGGTGATTCCTAAGTCAAATTCTTTTCTTTTGATGAGGGGTGATGAAAGTGGGCTCCAGTTTCAGATTTGCAAGAAATGGTAATGGTAGGTAGTAATGTAATGGTAGACAGACTGGTGAAGTCTGAATAATTTGTGAAGAACGAGGTTGATTATAATGAAAATGTTTCTCCAAAGCTAATAAAAAAATTTCATTCTAGCATAGAAGTATACTAGAAGTATACAAATTAACTCCCTAAAATCCCTCCAAATAACTTTTTTATTAAGACCAGGTAACTGTCCAAATGTTACACTTAACGGCTCACCAAGGTGTCAAGTATCTGGGCTTGCATCTCGATCGCAGACTTACATGGAAAAACCACATTAAAGTAAAATGTCAGCAACTGAGACTTGAAACACTAAAAATGTCCTGGTTGATAAGTCAGAAACCACCTTGGAAAAGAAAATCCTACTCTGCAATTCCATACTGAAGCCTGTCTGGACCTATTCTATACAGCTCTGGGGAACTGCTAGTAATTCAAATATTGATATACTTCAGCCAGGGCCGTAGCTAGAGCCTCGGGGGCCCTGGGGCAACAAGTAAATTTGGGGCCCCTATACGGAAGTCTTTTGCCCCGGCGGGGCCCCTTCCCTTCGGGGGCCCTGGGGCACCGCCCCACCTGCCCCATGCTAGCTACGGCCCTGACTTCAGCGTTACCAATCTAAAACATAGCGACAAATTGTCAATGCTCCTTATTAATTAATATCTTATGCAAAAATTTATAAAGATCATAATATCCCAACAAAAAAAGATGAAATGAATAAGATTAGTAACAAATACACCCAGTCCTTTTTTTACGCGATTGATGGTTCTGCCACTAATCGCGTAAAAATGGTAACCGCTAAATAAATGACTAATGACTAGATTTGCAATAATTGATACGCATAGAGTAATCGCAATCGCGTAAATGTGAAAAATCAGCGTAAAAAAGAAATTTGCGCTGCAAAAATAACCGCGTTAAAGCGAAATCGCGTAAAAAAGGGACTGGGTGTACATCCGTAGACTTCATAACCACGAAAATAATAGTAGACAATAGTATAACAATAATAAGACAGAAAAGATATCACATCTGAAAAGATGTTATATATAATAGCTGGATTCATTGGAAAACTGCTACTTCTGTTAATTTAATATTAATCAATCAATTTATTTATTGTTTCCTACACACAGATTGTAAATAAAAGAAGATTTAAAATCAAGAAGTACAAGAAAAAAGTAAAATATAATAGAAAGCCTAAAGTCTACATATAAAGTTGGGGGACGTCTTCCACCCCCAGGTCCCAAACTTTGAACCCTTATTTTTGATAGTTTTTTCGATCCATCTCCCTTGGCAGGCGTTTGTTTTATCGACAAAACATTCATAGTAAAACCAGACACAAAATCAAACATCCAGGTCTTACCCTTACTGCAGGACAGAATCAAGCTTACACTGCAGGACAAAATTCGATAATAAAGGATCCCTAAGACTCCCTAAACAAGGATGATTCGTTACGATCTAGTGCAAATAAAAAATGATTCATGGTGGGTTACCCTTATCGCAAGATGTTGTTTATGAATTACGGTTCTTAGGCAGCCGGCCCTCCACAAGGAGGGGACTTATGTGTGCAAGTTCCCGGAACCTCCGGCACCGGACCCCCTCCTGAACCCGGGCAACTGGTATGGCCATCTGCAGCCCTATCAGCGTCTGTTTTATCACCAGACCATGAACTCGGTGCGCTCGAGCAAGCGTTTCCGTGCCAATCCCCAAATCCCGAAGGATGTCTTGGACCTCAGGCTGCAGTCGCGCTACGACCATACTCGCGAAGCCTTTCCCCAAAAGGTGGACTACGTGATGCAGCACGAGACTTGCAAGTCGTGCATATCCAGTTGGTCGGCTCCGGGAGCAGCTAAGGAGATTGGAGCCCAGCACCAGTCCTTCAGGGTTCTACGCAACACGAAGATAATTCGTCGAAAGCAGGAGGATGTTCTAGGCCACCCATTGAGAATTGGTAAGCACTTTCAACTTGTCATCCCCCAGTTCCCCCAAAACACCTTCATTATCAGGTGGCTGCAAGGAGAAGATCCACCCCCATAGCGTCAAGCTGATCTGCAGCGGCGTCCACAACCAGCTCGTCAACAATGGATTCTCGCGCCAGACCTCCGACGGCAACTTCTTCCGCTACTAAGAAGTTAAATAGAAGAAGTTAAACATCTTTCGCATTTTACTGAAAATTGGAAATAAATTTGTAACACCGGAGCAATGGATCGCCGGATTATTTCATCCACTATCAAAATATATTCTATTTTGCCTTCTCTCTTGCTCCGATGTTGCGACGTTTAGTGCCTTTTGGTTCAAAAAACTTGTTTTTTAATTTTGGTTAAAGGTCCATTTTTGAAAAGGTCAAAATCTGGGTATTCTGGCTGCCTACGAATAGGTCTTACTCCAATGAGTTCCTTTTGGAAACTGTGTATATTTTGTATACAAATCTTTTACAAGAAAGATACATGAAAATCTTAAATCTTACTTATCAACGCACCTGACTCTGACCTGCTATGCGACCCTTTCTTAACTGACATAAGCGCACCACTTATATATTTGTGTTAGGCTGCAGGGGATCGGTTTTAACCCATGCTGCTTATCTCTTATTTCCATGGGTCCAATCCCTTAAAACTCGATCTTTGCAATTTGTATTTAGGATCGTGTTCAATGCTTGAACACGGCGTTGTTTACTGCATGTATTAGCCCACCGACTCGTATCCTATTTTGACTTTTTCTTTTAATAAAAAACTCCAGTTAATTAAGTTAAAACTTACTACCAGGCGACAGTCCACTACAATACCATTTAGTTTGTAGCGGAGCTACATTAAGCACATTTTATTCATTGTTGACATTGCAAGTCCTTTAATTAATAACAGGTCCATTTCAAAAATATTTGAAACCAATAAAAATACCCCTGAATGGGTAAAATTATAATTTTTAAGAAATTAATTTTTCAGTATAAAATTTCAGCTCTATAAAAGTTGTCGATTTGATGCAATTGTGGATCTGCTGTCATAAAGTGGCTTCTAGTTTCGGCTGTTTGGCTTGATGCTCCACTTCTTCGGAGTCCTCCGATTGCGCAGTGATTTCATTCTCCCCTTCTACCGGCTGGTGCAGAGCCTTTTGGCGTTGCTTCTTGTTCTGGTTCCGATAGCTCTTGGGCTGTTTATTGTCGCCAATCCTGAAACAAAACACCAAACATTTTTATAAGACACAAGTTTGTTTAGAAAGCGATGGACATCTACATATCTACTCAAGAGGCGATCCTAACAAAGAATTATTCTTAATGGAATAAGGACATCTCGCAATGAATATATAGGTATAATCTTACATAATAGTGGCTCTGGTTCCTGGTCCCCAGTGTGGAGTCGGATTCTCCTGGAAGCGCGAAAGGGCAGACTTTCGGCTTTTTGGATTGGCAGCTGGGTGTAGATTATCAAACTCGTAATCCTTGGTAGTTGGTTTGGAAAGGATGACCTGCAAAGGAGTACCGGGAATCATTCGATCCGGGTTCACCGGATGCCGCTTGCTCCAGCTGCGCAAGATGTCCCATAACACAGAAGCCGGTGCGTCGGTTTTCAGAGAGTTTTTCGAAGCATGGGAGTATGAAACTCGATAGCCAGCATGGAGCAAAGCCGACCGGAACTTGAGCATGGGCACAATCTCTAGCTTGAGGACACAGCACAGCTTGTCCGGGGTATAGTACAACGGCACGTCCTGAAGTTCCTCCTGCACCATGGACAGTACACCAACTATTCGTCTCTGTGTGCCCAGGGACTCCAAGGGCGATTCCTGGACGGCCTGTAAAAGCTGGTTCACAAATTCCGGGTTGTGTAACGGAGCCGACCATATGGGCCCCCCCAAGTGGTGCCTGTGTCCGCAGTGCTCGCACTGAGAATTCACTGCGGGACCCGTGGGTATGCCGAACTTCAGCTGCTGTGGGTTTCCCGCAGTAGGATTCGGCTTGGTGGTGCCCAGCGGCTGCAGTGTGAAGGTGTCACATCCAGTGCACTGATACATCCACGACTGTTTGCTCATTGACAGTTTGCATTGCGCCTGCCCCACTCGAACTCGGACGAATATTCGGATGTAAAAGTCCGCTGAGATGCTCAGCAAAGGCTCAATGTACTTTCCATGCCGGTTCGCGTGGCTCTCAATGCAGTGCAGCAAGATGCGCAGTGCCATCTCGTGGCAGCACTTCATCCTCAGGGGTACTGATCCGTACTTTACATAGCAAGCCTCGGGTGCATTGCCTGCCAGCACAGCCATGTCGGTGGCGGTCACAAGAAGCAAACCTCCATCAACGAGGCACTGAATGGCGCCATCTAGGAAGCGATTCGGGCATCCGTACGGGTCAAGGTCCACGGCATCGAACCGCTTATCTTGAGCAGTTGAAAGATACATCAACGTCCTGAAGAAGACAATTTATGAGTAAATGCAGTTTTCGCACAGATAATAAAAGCTGACACTAACATCGCATCCGCGTGGCTGGCTTCGATGAGCTCCTCCACCTTGTTGTGCTCCACGTTCTTATTTATGGAGGCCACTGCCTGGCGAGACAGGTCGTTCGCCACAATCTGGCGGACCCCAGCGATTTCCTGGGCATATCGGATGCTCCGTAACCCAGTAGCTGCAAGTGCCTCCAGGATCCGCAGGCCATCCTCGTAGCGTTTGCCGGCCACATAAGTGTAGGAATCTTCCGTTCCTACCACGGGGGTCTCTGCTTTCTCCTTCGCTTCTCTACATCTTTCTCCCTCCTGCTCCTCTACATCTTTCGGCCTTCTCCGCTGCTGTTTTTTGGCCGCCTTTTCGATCCTTTCCTTCACCAATATCCGGTGGTAAACATTCAGCACCGAAATGCTGAGATCCCGGTTAAACTCCTGCACGGGGTTGTAGAAAACATTGCCGCCGGATACGATCTCAGCGTTGCGTTCACGAATCACATGCTCATTGGGGTTCTCCTCAATGACATCCTATAATAGACAATAGCAGTCAAAAAGTGAATTAAATGATTTCGTTTAAGAACCTGCTGTTTTCCTTCGTCCACTTCCATTTGGTAGGCGGTAAAACAGACACGTGTGGCAGGGTTGTCGTCACCGTTTGTTTTTAATGTTCTGTTTACACTAAGATGCATACGGATATTTTCTAATTGGGATAAAATAATTTACAATTATTATGGCTGCATAAAATGCACATAATCCATTTTTATTGAATAATTTTCTATTTTTCAATTATTAAAGAAAAGTTTAACTTAGTGTTTCTATGTAAATGATTCATTAAAACAAATGGATTGAGAAAGAAGTTCATAAACTTGGTCATTTTTTTATGAGAAAATAATGCGTAGATATATTTAATTATATAAATTTATTACCAATAAATAGCTATTTATTACCAATAATGCATACTTCTTGGAATAAGAAAATATCAAAATTTATATCGAATTTTCGATATTTAGGCAAAGAAACAAATAACGATAGATACATTATTAACCAAGATTATCGATATTTTCATTCTGTTGACAACCCTACAATAATAGGGCTGATAAAAATTAATTTGCAGAAGTTAAGCAGCCGCCGCCGGAATCGTAGCTACCATCAGCTTGAAGCTTTTGTAATTTTGTACTTTTATACGACGTGAGGAAGAAGCACACGATGACCGATCTGCGGAACGAGATGGACAGTGACCTGGACCAGAACTACTCTCTGAACAGCAACGCGGACCCCAAGAACATGCAGGAGCTGACCATTTACGTGAGTAATCAACATGAGACACCCAACAAAGAGAGCACCCAGTAAACAACGCGTCCTGTCATCAGGTACAAAATCTGTTGCAGAATGTGCAGGACAAGTTCCAGACCATGTCTGATCAGATAATCACGCGCATTGACGACATGGGGAACCGTATCGATGATCTGGAAAAGAGCATCGCCGATCTGATGAACCAGGCCGGGATCGAGGGACAGGTCCCGGAGAAATGAGATCCGTAGTGCTGGCCGCCGGCCACACCCCTCTGGAGAATGAAATCCAAAACCCATAAGATACATACACACATGCATCGAACACCCGGCACCAGTCCCATCCTCACCTCGTCACCGAATTAAAGATTACAATTCCAGGCTATCACATTCATTTATATGTATATTCCCGCACCCATTTGCTCTCAACAACACACTTGCTCATCTGTTTATTGCGTAGCTTTAAGTTTCCCGAACGGGAGCATCATAATTTAAGTAAAGTAATACGTTTTGTGAGCAACGGGCCAATAATTTAGAGTTATTTGCCTTTTAGTTTCTATTTATAATCGTATTAAAACAAATTCGAGAATTGTAACACTTCAGGATTTCGATTTAACAACGGTTACCAGGCGACCGTCTTTCCGCCGTCTTGCCTGGCGCGCCAAGTATTTCGTGTTTACAGGAAGCGATATGGGGGAGAAAGGTGACATTTCCGCTTGATTAGTTATGATATGCATATATTTATTCTTGTTTATTTGGGGCAAATAATGCAAATCGTGAGCCGTGGCCATTAAAAGTGAAAATCAGTCTTGTTTTTGTGCCTACCTTTGAAAACAAATCATTAATGTGGATACTTGCCAGTATTTTATTTGAAAATAAAAATGTATCTGTAAATAATAACTACGAGCATTTATAAGGCATTCGCAAATGTTCCGGAAACTGTTATGCTGGCAGCTATTTAGTTACATTATCTTAGTCTGATTTTCTAAAAGCTTTAAAAAAGGTGGTTGAAAAAAATTTCAAATAAAGCCACTTTTCCTCAAAACTTTTATTACGTATCATAGTTTCAGAAAATATAGTTGGGGCTATACATTTTTTTTTTTATCAGTTGTTAAAATTATTATCCAAATTGTGCAGAACTAAAATGCGATATGGGATAAGCGATGTTGAGCTTGGATTTAAAATATGAGATACAATTAGCAGTTAGGTTGTTATTTTTTCAAGCTTAGCGGGAGGCACATACATATGTAAATGATTCTTTTTAGTAATACTGCTTTGCGATATCTAGTCTAGCTTTAGCGGGTGCTAGTGTGGGGGCACATGGAACTGCTTCTGCAGCCTTACATGTGTGGAGGCCACTGCCTTAAAGGGATGCTTGACCGGCTGGCGGGGTGGCTTGGCCAAAGCCGAGGCTGCACTGGTTGTGGACGAAGGTGTTGTGGATTCCTTGCCTCCTCCAGATCGCAACTTGGCCCCGAAGACGTTTTCCCGAGGCGTGGCTTGGGTGCTCGGCTGAGTGAGTTCTCTTTCATCGTCGGAGGCGGTACCAGATTCCTCTTCCTCCTCGCCACTTTGTTCGGTTTCCTTTTTAAGTTTGCAGAAAACATTTTAAAGATAATTATTAATCATTTAAAAAAATATTTACATAATTTTTTTTGTAGTCGACGCAGCTAAAAATCTGAAAAAGTTTTTTGTCAAAACTTACCTCTTCTTCTTCATCATCCTCTTCGTCTTCGTCATCCTGCTCCTCGCTCTCTTCCGGCTCGGTTTTACTGCCATGGTTGATTCCGGCACGAGTTAGATTTTTGGTGCTCCTCGAAAGCTTTTGGCGTCGCTTCAAAGGACTAACCAGATGCTCATGGTCCAAGCTATCCATCGACTGGGAGCGCAATCCTTTCTTGAAGGCTGCCTTCCGGGTAGTTGGTTCCTCTTTGGTCTTCATTAGTTTTTGGAATTCTAGGAAATCGTCCCGATCGTCAATGTTGCCAATGTCATAGTAGCTGGCGCTGAGCACCTCCAAAGCCTTGGTATGCTGCTTCATGGATATGAGGATAAAGTCACTGAGAAGTTGCTTTACGTCTCGCAACTTTCTCTGCTCGAAGTTCCCGATAATATCGTCGATTTCCTTGTTTGTGCGCTGCACTTCCATCTTTGCCTTAAAAAGCTCCGAATCGGCGGCACTCTAAGGGGTTACATGGGAATTATTCTGGTAAAATAATATTAGTTCAAATTCTCACGTTATTGGCCGAAAACTTTGACTTGAGCTCCAGCATCTGGCGCTGGCGCAGAACCTCCTTATCGCGAGCAATTACAGCCAGGCGCAAATTGTCCCTCGTGGATTTACAAAGTTGTTCAAATTGGGCCAGTTCGTTGACGATCTGGAGAATGTAATATTAGAATTATTTTCAGTATGTTACGCAGTGTATCTACATACCTTTTGTTCCAAGCGGTGGACATTAATGTCCATATAGTCGCTTATAAGAGTCACAGCATTAGTGAAGCTCTTTAGTCCCTGGCAGAGACTCTCATTGATTTCCTCATCGTCCGCATAGCTCTTGACTCCTTTGGCCAGATCATCAAACGAATCGCGGTACCTGGAATAACATTTTAACGGGCAGACTTCTAAAAAGGCATTGTGGCCCTACATACTTGGCCATTTTCCGGGTCACCAATGCAAAGGAGGTACACATTTCCATCAAATGGCGTTCGGTGAGTGAAATGCGCTCATTTATTATTTTAATACGGTCATCTTTGGTATTTAGAAACGATAATTTGCCGCGGCGAAACATTTTGTCTGTATTTGACTATATTTTTACATTAAAATCGAAAATTCCGTTGCTAAGGTTACGTTCATATTACAGGTGCAAATATGAAACAATATCGATGAAAACATCGGTGCATCGATGTTTTTCGATTTTTTTAATTATCGACATAAAAAAGGACATTTTTTTTAAATTCTTGAATTAAAAGTTTAAAGTTATTTTTTTTTTCAGTAATAGAACATTTAATATCTGACACCAGGACGCGTCTTAACCTGGATCATAGTCGATAAACTAATTTTTAAACCCTTGAAGAGGGTATAATGGTCAAAGATGGAACATCAAACTGTTATGCCTCATACTCAAAATATTAATTATTATTAGCATAACCACTGCAAAGTCAGCTGTTGCATCTGAGAGCACGTGCGCTAAATTTGTAATTTTCACATAGTGATTTGCAGTGGCGGATTTAACAGGTGGGCAAAAGCGCGCTGCCCACTGGCCCCCCGAGGAAATCTTTAAGCTGACAGTTACACCTTCGATTTCTTTTTTTTATTTGTTTGTTGAAAAAATGTTTCCGTGAGTCTCTTGTGGACAGCACAAGTTCAATTTTCATTCAGGGGCCCCCTGTTATCAGAATAATTGCAATGCTTGATAACTATCGTAAATTGAATATAAAATCAAATAACTTTTGGGTGCAATCCTAGAATAGGGGCCCCCCAGCGTTTTTCGGCAATTTTTGGTATTTTTGGCCAAATTTGGGGTTGATCGAAAGGGGAAAGCCTGAGCTAACGACGTTTTACTAACTATTTTTACTATTTTTACTAAACCTGACATGGTGGCATTCGGTCCTATCATTCATTGACATTGCTGAAGTACAATTACAGAAAAAAGAAGTTGATCTTTTGATAGCCCAAAATTGTCTCGAAAATCTAATGAAGAACTTGCAAAACTTGCGTGAGGAGAGCAAGTATGATTCTTTCGTTTCGAAAGCTAAATGTCAATGGGAGAAGATGGGATGGAAGAATCCGGATTTTCCGAACATTAGACAACGACGAACGAAAAAAATGCCAGGCGAGAAAGCAGAGGACTCTGGATATGGCAACGAAACATCGCATTGGGTACTTTGGAGTTCTGGACAGAATGTGCAGTGAATTACAAGAAAGGGCCAAAGGTTTTGATGAGATAAACTCACTTTTCAGATTTCTCAAACCTGAATGCTTCAAAAACATGGAAGCAAAAGAATTCGAAAAAAATGTGTGCAATTTGATGGAGAAATATCCAACTTTTTTTACAACTGCCTTGAAGTATGAGTTAATCAGTTTTGCGGATATATACAATTTCTCACAAGAACAAGCATAGTTCATTGCAATATTTGAACTTCATCGTTGAAAAAAATTGGATCAGCAGTTTCCCGGAGTTTCCCTGAAAAAATTTTGGCCACTGGTCCTTTCTTCTTAAATCCGGCACTGGTGATTTGTGAAATTAGCTTATTTGTGTAAAACACCATTTAACAAGTAAAAATAGTAATAGACGCTGATTTCGCAGGTTTGTACTACATGTTAAATGTATTAACTGTTTAAATTGTGCGTGTCTATACAAACATTTTGTCATTTGATAAATGCACCTTAAGCTGAATTTTGGGAAACAAATTTCTACTTTGGGAAGATTTATGAAATAGAAGAAATAGAAAGTTTTCAATGCGTCCAAGTGTATGTTGTAGCGTTGTCAATACTGAGCAATGGTCTTAATAATAAGTCTTATTGTGCGCTTTTCTCCACTATTGGTGCAATTTGAATTTTTCTTAAATAACCTCACTTTCTGCAACGCCGATTTGGTCGCTGCCTGGAACAGCGAAAAGGGGCCGGGCTGACCAACAAATGGTTGTACAATGTTTGAACACCATGCAAATAACAATGTGAATAATGCAATTTTAAAAGAAAAAAGCCACCAATTTGAAATGGAAGTAATGGAAAATACGGTGCTTCAAGCTGTATAAATCAGACAGGCTCACCACTTCAGAAAGCACAGCCGATTACATTCCTTCGCTGATGTGTTCAACAGAGCTATGGATACATCAGATCCAACTATTTCGTCCCTTAATTTATCGAGACGCATAAAAAACAAAAGTCTTTCACTTCCAATAGCGGTAATTGAGATGCTTTCTAGAGAATACGAAAATAATGTTTGTCTCGAAGATTACGAATTTGACGATTCCAGCTTTTTTTTTTAGATAATATTGATATAGAAAAATAAATAAATGAATATTAAGATTAATACTACTGTATTTGTATGGAAAACACTGAAATCCGGTATTTTATACTGCTAGTTCCCAGGGAAAGCGTTATCGGATTTGGTTCAAAATCGCTATATCATATTAAAATAGCAACAAATATCAGATCCTTAAATTTCATTAATTTATCTTTACTTTTACCCGGTCGTTCCTATGGGAGCTATAGGATATAGTTTCCTGATCCGAACGATTTTCATACTATATGTGCCTAGGATCAAATAATAACGATTGGTAACGTTTCATGTCGATATCTCAAAGACTGAACGAGTTATTAATTAATGCCACAAAAACATAGGAAATAGGAAATATGGCCACTTTTCTGGCAAAAATAATATCTCAAGAACGAAAAAAGATATTTAAGTTTTGATTTTTGATTTGAGTTCACATGGTCAATAGATTTAAGATTTAAAAAAAATGTGGGCGTGACACCGCCCACTGTAATCCCAATACACAAATTAAACACGGATCTATCGGCCATCGCAATGCTGTTCGAATCAATAATACTTAAATCAATCAATAACATATAAATAATAATAACATATTAAAAGATAATCAATTTGGCTTCCGCAAATTTAGTAGTACTAACCATGCACTGCTTGCGGCCAACAGCTTCATATATGGCAACATACATAACCGCAAAGCGACCATAGCTTGCGTTTGACACCGTATGGATCAAAGGTCTCCTATACAAAATACGTATAGGATATCACTTTGATCCATCGTTATCCAGATTGCTATGTTGCTATCTGACTGACCCTCGATGGATACAAATGAGTGTTCGATCGTCAGAAATGTGATAGATGGTGTGCCGCAAGGATCATTATTAGCCCCAACCCTTTATAATTTATACGTAGTCGATCTCCCAGACTATACTGGAAAGAGCCGCTTCAGCCAACCATTTTGTAATTGCTGCACCCTCCAGTATGTCTGGTGTGATTCCGAAGAGAGCGCCCCGGGGCTCATTACGTGTTTCGGCGGCGGACTCCAGGATGGAAAATAGATCCTCTGCAACTAGCCCGACTCATCTTCCTCCTCATCTCTTGGAGCCCTTCTCCCCCAATTTCCTGGAACAATACCACCGTTGCCAGTCGTTTGGTCATACTAAGGAACGCTGCAAGCGCTCTTTCATCTGCATGAAATGTGCGCGTTTTCACCTGTCGACGGCCTGCAAGAAGCCCCGTGACGCCCCATCCCGGTGTTGCAATTGTCAGGGCCGACATGTAAGCCTTTATCGTGGATGCCCGGTGTACCAGCAGCGCAAGCGTTGGTTCGAAGACTTTCTGCTTTCCAAGATTGAGGAATTTTCTAGTACCAGTGCACAGTGGTCTAGCTATTTGAATTTGTTCATCTTTTTGTTTTGCTCGGTCTGTCCGCTTCAAGAATAGCATCGAAAGAGATAGCATGATATTCATTGTGTATTGCAGCGTAAGCAACGTGGAGGTGAAGCTCTCCGCAAAAAATTTGTTAAACATTTTTAAAAAAAGTGTTTGTGCCATGGAAGTGATTAATATTTTAAAGAAAGGTATTAACTTTCTTTTTACAATAAAAAGTACATGTAGTATTTGTTGTTTTTTGTGTAAATCATTGTTGTATTTAGTACATAATTGTGAACGTCTTAGTTTGTCTTTTCTGTGTTTGGTTAGTAGAGCTTTAGTTGTGATGGCACTCTTTGGCATTCACAAATCTTTTTGTATTAATATTCCTTAAGGTGCCATCCGGCTTGCAAAATACAAAAAGGTAACCTAACCTTTTTTTTTGAAACATTCATTTGTTGAATTGTTACTACACATATATGTAAATATTAAAGGATAAGCATATAAATTAAAAAAATGTATTTATTTTATGTTCATTTTTGTAAATTACATTTATAATTTCTGTCATTATTATTTTAAGGCGAAATAGTTTCCCGGCGAAAACTCGTTTTACACTGATTGTTCCTATGGCAGCTTTAACTTATAGTATCCAGATTTTTACCGAAGTTTCCCAGGTTATATACGAAAATTTCGATGGAATGGAAAATAGATCCTCTGTAACTAGCCCGACTCATCTAAGTAAGTTTTACTCATCTAAGTAAGTAAAAGTAAGTTTTCTTTTCTTTAATTGTATCATGAGTCTAACTCACATTTTAAATATATCCAAACACAGGAAAAATGCCTCCCCGACGAAGCTTAAGACTACAGCTAAAACGAGCCGCGCAAGGGCTTGCCGAACTCCAAGCCGATGCTCAGGCACTTGCCGAAAATTAAAACGCGTTAAAATAAGAAAATAAGACCCAACTAGTAAATAAGAATTTAAAAAAAAAAATAAAATACGCTTTAAAAACTTATCTGGCAGCAATTTGAGTGCCCATTTACTGCGTCGTCGTCGTCCTCCGACTCCTCAGCGACGCGTGATGCGTCAGCAGTGGAAACTATAATCCTAATTTGCAAACCGACAACGTTCCAATTATTAAAATGACATTAATTTCATAAAATAAAACAAATAAAATAAGACCCAAGTAGTAAATTAGTTAAAAGAAAAAAAAAAAGGTTCGCTTTAAAAAGTTTTCTAAACACAAGTCGGTTTATTTTCAACAAGTTCCACGGTAAGTCAAAAATTAAATAATTAAAATAAAATGAAAGATTAAGCACCAGGATTCTAAACCGGCTGTCTTGTTGAAACGCCAAAATACGCTTTATTAGTGCTCAAACAGTAAATTTAAAATGAAATAAATGGGCAAAAAAAAAAAGAAAACCAAATACCAAAGAAAAGAGGTTGATTCTTGGTTGACGGCTGGCCACCGAATGAATTAAAATCCTCCAGAGGCTGACTTTTATAGGGTTCAGGTCCCATTCAAATACAGTTATTTTTTCTCTCTCTTTTTCTTCTCTCTTTTTCTGCAGCGCAAAGTTGGAAAACGTAAAAAAAATAAAAAAGCTTGAAAGTGTTGAAAAATTTGTGATTTTTAATGTTAAAAATTTAACAGAGAAAAAGTTCTGTTAAAAATTAACAGAACTTGCTATAAAATGTACTATAAAAACCACTATTTCAGTTTCCAACACTTTTTTAATTTGGCCGTTTTCCAACTTCGCGGTGCCGAAAAAACAGTCCGAAAAAAAATGTTACTTTGGCACCGCGAAGTTGAAAAATTTCAAAAATTGAAAAAGTGTTGTAAAATTGAAAAATTGTGTGGAAAAAAAAATTCGACTGTTCTTGAAACCGTTATTAAAAACATTTTTTCACCACGATTATTTCAAAAGAAAAAGATTTTTTTTTACGAACTATTTTTATGCTATTTTTATGAACAGCCAAAAACTTGTGATTTTGAACAAAAATGCCCAGAAAACGCAAACAAAAAGCAAATCTTACGAAATTTTTGTCCTTTTCCTATCTCAATATCTCATTTCACAAAAATAATGAAAACTTAATAAATAATAATAATTAATAAAAATAAATAAAATATATACAATAAAATCAAAAACTCAACAAATACTCCAAAACACTACGAAACACAACAACGAATAGACAATTTAAAACAACTAAAACCAATACAAAACAAAACCTAGGTACACTAAACGAAACACCCCATTAAATACTCAATAAATAGCTGAAATACAAAAAATTAATAATAGTTAACAAAAATAATATTCTCAAATGTACACTTTTCGTTTTGACGTTTGAGTTTTCGGTGGGTTTCGCGACAGTGGTCCGGCTTGTATGAAGAGAGCGGCCAAAAATACTTCTAGTTGAGGTACTTCTAGTTGCACAAAATATTTATATTTTTATTCTAAAATAATATGTTGAAATCAGCCAGATCGGGCAACTATATCATATAGCTGCCATATAACTGATTGATCGAAAATGCTATAACTTGGGTGTTTTTAAAGCTAGAGAATTCTGATTTGGTACGAATGCTATTTTTGGCAAAATAATACAACATGCCAAATTTCATAAGGATCAGCCGACTATATCCTATAGCTGCCATATAACTGAAAAAACGGAAATTAACCAACTTTTATGTTAAGAAAATTTGTTTTGCAAATTTTGCCAAAAAATTTTTGCACATTTGTTACCTTTGGAGACCGACAACACATAAACAAATTGTAGAATTTTGTGGGATCACTACTAAAACTTCAGCTAAACATGAAAAAGACGTTCAAAATATACGCAAAAAACATGTATTAGTTCACAATAATATAATAATAACAATGATTATTATTAATACATCAAATTATATCTCATTTCATAGAAAATACCTTCAACTTCAAAATCCATTACAAATAATTTGAATTTGAACACGTAAATAATGATCTGACCACGTCAAAGTTCGGTTTAGTTGTGAATATTCGGGATGCGCGCAGCCGCGCTTTACAAATGAGCAATTGTTCACATCTTCAAATAAATTTGTAGAAAACCCGCAAGATTTTTAGAAAAATCGGGTTTGCCATGAAGAAGCTTGGGCATTTTAGAGGCGATTTTTTTACTTTTCGTACGTTTTTGCCGTTATCAATTTTTTTATTTTTGGCCTATGGGAGCAGTTCGCTGTCACAAAATCCAACCAAAGCGAAAAAAAAAATATTAGATTTTCAATAAAAGAACGGCTAGTTCATGCCAAATTTTAACCAATTTGGATGGAAAAAAATTTGGGATTTTCTAAACAAAAATGAATTAATATACCAGAAGATCTTTTAATGTCCCACGCGGGTGTAATACACATAAAGGGAAATTCTGATTCTGTGTAATACACATAAAGGGAACTTCTGATAACAATTCGCCGAAATTTTAATGCTTATTTTAAGATACTTAAATGTCCAAAATTTATGTATAATTACGTATACACATTACGTTACATATATATAATTATTAAAATTTAATACTGAACTATGAAACTTTTTCGACTTTGCATAAAAACATTTCAATGATCGTTATGATTATGATTATTCTTATTCTTATTAAATTTGATACATCGCTAAATTATAAGAAATACATTTACTTAAATTAAAAATAACTTATTTTTAATAGGTATAATAAAAATGTTAGGAATTAACGTATGAAATTTAAAATATGTACTTTTTAGAAATGTTCCTTAAATTTATTTATTTTTGTAATTTGTAATTCTTTTTCAAAAGTGTCAAGGTCAAGAGCACATTTTCGTGCTGTCTTCATTGGTGGGCGGCCACAGCTGAAGAATCTATATTTAAATTGGATAACATCTATGAAAAATCAAGAAGCGCCACAGTCACGACAAATAACAAGAAAGCAAAGCTAACTTCGGGCGGAGCCGAAGTTGATATACCCTTGCAGCTAAAACCGGATATATATTGCAAACATCGGATATAGTTGGCCAATCCTTATGATTACATCATAATAAAACCAATCAATTACAATAAAAAATCGAAAAAAAAAGTCACAAGCTTCTATCTTCAAAAATATGAAAGTTCATATTTCTACCAAAAACCATTTCCGATCGTACAGTTATATGACAGCTATAAGATATAGTCAACCGATCGTTATGAAATTTGGTAGATCGGATTTACTGACCAAAAATAGAATGTGTACCAAGTTCCAGTTTTCTATCTTCAAAAACACGAAAGTTGGGTCATTTCCGATCGTTCAGTTATATGGCAGCTATAGGATATAGTCGGCCGATCCTAATGAAATTTTGTAGGTCGGATTAACTGACCAAAAATATAATCTGTACCAAGTTCCAGCTTTCTATTTTTAAAAACACGAAAGTTGGGTCATTTCCGATCGTTCAGTTATATGGCAGCTATAGGATATAGTCAGCCGATCCTTATGAAATTTGGCATGTCGTAATTTGTTACGACAAAAAATAGCTCTCATGTCAAATTTGAACTCTCTAACTCTAAAAACACCAAAGTTATACCATTTCCGATCAATCAGTTATATGGCAGCTATAAGATATAGTCGGCCGATCCCGGCCGTTTCGACTTATATACTGCGTGCAAAGGAAAGAAGGGTGTGTTCAAAGTTTCAAGACGATAGCTTTAAAACTGAGAGACTAGTTCGCGTAGAAACAGACAGACGGACAGACAGACGGACAGACGGACAGACGGACAGACGGACATGCTCATATCAACTCAGGAGGTGATCCTGATCAAGAATATATATACTTTATAGGGTCGGAGATGTCTCCTTCACTGCGTTGCACACTTTTGACCAAAATTATAATACCCTCTGCAAGGGTATAAAAATAGATTGTTCGCTTCAATTGGAAAATAAAAATCTCGGTATAAAATATAAAAAAGATATTTTAGAAAATTAAAAAACCCATTAATGCAAATTAAAAATAAGCTAAGCTTTTTGTTGCCAAAGTAGATGTAGCAGCACCTACTTAATTTCTTTTTGTTAAAAGCCTTGGCAACCAAAGCTTGTTTTTGGGGAATTTTTCTCGAAGCGTCAACCGCAAGAATGTTGTGTCAACAATTAGCCGAAATTGGCAATTTATTTTAAATGCTCTTTTCCCACTTAAAGGCATAGTGCATTAAAACCTGAATATAGTTAAACAAAAATAGCAGCGTCGAATAAAAACAACGAAAGTGCAGTTAAATGAGAATCCGGTTCACGGGACGATGACAAGAATTAAAAGTTGTTCAAGGCGCAGAAGCGGCAACAGCTGGAGCTTCGACGATCGACATTCCAGATTCCAATCACTACAATAGAGCCAGGGGCTCACAAGGGGCCGGTAAAAGGGTCTCGTATTGAAAGGCCGGCTTCATTGTCAATCCGAGAACGTAGCTTGGCGCGCGTTCCTTGCCTACTTCACCGGATCCGCCTCGGTCTCCGCCGAAGTCGGTTTGCCGTTTTGAATTTCTGATTTCCTTACACCTCGAACTGTTTTGGTCAAGGGATGGCCCCCGGGTTCAGGTTCCAAGAGCGACATTCACTTTTTCTGCCACTGACGTGTCAATGAATGCTTGTTCTTGGGATACCCCTTAAGAACAGTGGGGTTTGAGGATTTTAACTGAAGGATCATTAATTTTAAGGATAAAAAATACAAAATAATACATAAATTTTAGTGCTTATAAAGTTAAATTTAAAAACAGCGTTTTTTATTTTTAAATAATTTTCTATATATTTTAGGTTAAACAATAATTATAATATGTAATTGAAACCTCTGAAAGAAATCTTTCTTTATCAATATCATAATAATATTTAAAAATTTGATTTTCAAATTAATAATTTTTTATATATTTTAAATAAATTCATAAATTGGAAATGGTGGATAAAAAATGGTAAAACTTCTAGCATACATTTCTCCGGTTGTCTCTTTCTCTTATACATACTTATGCTTCGGACTTCATGAATTTCAATAACCTCTGTTTATGCATATGAGAATGCTTGAAATGATATAAGCTAAACTTCATCGAGTTAAAGAAGGTACTTTTGGTTTTAGTCTGTTTGCTACCCAATATAAGTATTATCCCCCATTTCAGTCACTACTTTATCGTCTATCTTCGTTTCTGCATCCATTTTATATTCGCGCTCCTTTTATTAATATGTTTCAGTTTGAAAAACTTCAAGACTCTAAAATTGTAGTCAAAATTAGAGGGTAATCGTAATTCATGAAAAGTCCATCGCATAAACGCAGTATGTGCCAGCTGCGTGCCTTGGAATAAATATAAATAAAGCCAAATTCGTACGCAACCGTTTAGTCTGAAATTTTTCATAAAAGCCAACACACGTTGAGGATCGCGAGCGACGATCGACAGTTTAGGGTAACTTTATACAAAAATAACTGTATGACCGCGATAACAACAATAAAAGTTTATGCAAATTTTCGTGTCTCGGTGTGTGTTGTTTGAGTGGGACAGTGTTTGAGCGATTTCCGGTTTTGAGGTGGCCGAATTGTTTATAAACAAACAATTTTAATTTTGTTTGGATTTTTGCAAATATATATCTTGGGCAATGCGAATTTATTGTGGGAACTTTTATGCTCCTCGGGACTGAAAAAATAATTTCTCGTGCCGTAAAAATGTGATAAATAGTGCCTAAAATACCGACAAATATTTACACCTTGAAACAAAAAATCAAATAGAAAACATGTGTGAAAATTAGTTCATTAATAGATATAGAGTATCTGAAATTATCTTATTTGTTTAGATTGTTAAAAGATAAATATTAGGGCATGAAATCTGAACTAAATTTGTAAATGTATCCCAAAATATAACCAAGTCTTATGATCTCTAATATTGACGTAATATTGGTCGTGATGGAACTCGGCTCAATCAAGGCGTGACTACTGTGTCTGGACAATTATTAAGAAGCGCTTATCATAATCACTTTATTACTGGGAAGAGTGATGAGAGCTAGCTCCGCTTCGATTAGGGATTATATGAATATGAGCTATAGTACTGGTTTTCCAGTTCTTCGAAAAGATAATTCTCGATTGTTTCGCTACTGGCGAATAACAAAATCAGCGTGTTTGTTTACACAATTGCTCACCTTGAACTCCAGCCAAGCTTGTTCAACAGGTGATTTCGGTCGTCAATTGACATAATTCTCGGCGTTTTAAATGCAAATTGGAATTGAATTACGAACGGCAACTAAAACGGAGAATGGAAAATAATGACCAACTGAGACAGGGACACTACCAGAGAAAACCGAGAGCGTGCAGCTAACGAAACATGGACAGAATTTGATTTTCCCAACAGATTTAAGGGCCCATACCATAAAAGATAGTATAAAAAAAGTAAAAAGTCTCAAATAAAACTAAGAATAAACAAATTATTAAATATATGGTACACAAAAAGAAAAAACAAAGCCAACATATTTGAACTTTCTTAAAAAAACAATCAATCTAGATTCTAGATAATTTAAATCTATCACTCATACGCACTGTAAACAGAATAGTATTTTTTTGTACAAATTCATGATTTCAAAATTAAATACATTCTATACAAAAATTGCTTATACGTCGTATGTGCCCCACAGTGGTGTCCCGTAATATTAAAACCTGTCCAGAGTGCCTACCACTGCACTCGGCTGTCCATTTAAAATATTAATAAACACAGCGACTAATTGAATGAGCGGGTGAGTGAGAGTGTCGGCAAGTTGCTCGTTGTACTCGCAAGTACTCACTTTCACACTCATTGGCAGCGGTTCCCAGCTCGGTTTCGTGTGCTGCCGCCGTTTATTTGCCGTTTCCTCAAATCATTTAAGCGCATTTGACTATTGTTTGTCTTTCAACACAGAACAGAACAGACCAGAATCCCATCTAGTTGGCCGGCGCAGATAAAAACGCACAGCAGAGCCCCAAATCAATATTTGAACTGACAAAGTTAACATAAATAAACGGCTTGAGTGTGTGAAAAATAAACTACAAAATGAAGCTGATTTGCGGAGTATTGGCGATCGTGGTTGCTCTCAGTGGAGTCTTGACGCTGCCTGGTGAGTTAAGTTGGATGAAAATAGCTTTAACAGCGTAATAAGCTTGAATCTATGGATCGAAATATACATGTATATTCATACCTAGATAACCTTTTCACCTCTTCAATGAGTGAATGATAAGCTCTGGAAATGCCCAGAACACTGTTTGTTTATTAATCTTTTGATTATCCGGTTCAGTCCGGTGGCATCTCACTATTATTTCCTGGAATTTTAAGGCTGTGTTGGTGAACTAAGAATAATAATTATTTAAACTAGGGACTCTATACACTTACTGCTATCTGAGTTTTTAAGTCAGACTATTCTGGAGGATAATGATGCCTGCTCCTTGATAACAAAGCGAGACACTACAATCAGTCAAATGCATACTACAGATACACTAGTTACTACAAATGGCAAAATATCAGAGGCCCTCGGAATCGCGGCTCAGAATTTGAGATTCCGAGAGCGTCGTCCTTATTGTCATCATCAGCGTTTGCTGTTCGGCTGCCACTTGAATGCATAAATTGCTGGAGAAGCTGCCAGTGAATTGCAGATTGCAGATGACGGGCTGCAGGCGGGTCGGCGTGGCAGTGGGGGCAGCCTCTTCAAGTAGTCAGATTCCCTGCAGTCCAAATCATTTGCAAGGAATATGGAAATTTAATACAAAACTCGTAAATTTGCATTTTTAGGTACAAGTTCTCGAGTGCTTCAAATATTTAAAAATATTTGCCATTTTGGTTCAATGAATAGAAAAAATGACAAAGGGCTGGAAAGTTGCTCCTAGAATCTAGTTTTCTTTTTTACTGAGAAGAGATTGTACATACATACATACGTATATAAAGTTACCAAATTAAAAAAATTTTTCAAAGGAGAATAAGATTTTAAACATTTGCGGCGTTTGTGGCTTTCTCCGAAATTACACACCTCTCGTCTCGGTTGAACGAACTGTAAAGTTTATACGCCCGAGTGGTGCCTTTTTGTCACCCATTCGGCGGCCTGATTGCAAGTGAAATTCTTGGGCATTTTCTTCTGCCTTTTCTTCTCTTATTTTTCTTAATTTTGTTTTTATGGGATCGGGCCATGTCAGTGTCCCATGGCCAAAAGAATTGGGTTAATTACGGCCATAATTTGCGTTTAAGGCCTTTTCCAGGGAACGTCTCTTACTCTCGTCATGCTCGAAAGCAATTGCAATTGCATGTCCACATAAATCATTTTATTTGAATTCTTTTATTGTTGTCCGTATGTGGAACTATGTATGCGAGGAGCAATAAAGCCCAAAATAATTATAATTGTATTATTGGTGAATTATTTTAATTTACATTGTTGGAAGTTGGTGTGGAGTTGCCGGCAATTTGCTTAATTTAGGGGATTATTTATTTGTGCAAATTGAAGTTCATTTTTAGTCCTATACAAATGGTTATTGGGAGTTGATGAATGTTCAGCTAATTAGCATTTAATTTAAAATACTGCCAATACAATGAAGTGGAAATGTTCCTAATTTCTTTATTTTGTGGATTTTCGTGGACCCTGGATACGTTCTAAAAAACATAAAACAATACAATTAAATTGAAGACAACATATGTACATAGATTATGAAGTTCAATAATTATTAAATATTATAATATATTTCTTTTGAAAGGAACCCGCTTGGAAGATTTTAATATTGTAGATTTCAATTGTATGTTTTTTAAACTTTTCGAGAAGTAAGGTTAAACAATGTTAAACATTTTTGCACAATTATAAATACAAAATTGTTACAGGCATTCATCTTGAAATGAAGACAAATAATGAGAGTCAAATGGCTTGAGAGACAAATTTAAGCCACTAAGTTAAAGCTTTAAAAAAATCGGATTCATTTGTAATTTTAATTAACTTACAATGAAGTGGATATATGCTTTTGTGGATTCTCAAATTCTGGAAATTTCGAAAATAAACAGGGGAAAAACAATTAAATTAAAGAAAGCTTGCATTTGAAAATACGTATTATCTTTTTAAGAGGTTTGGCGGTTCCATTTTGAGGAGATCTAAAAGTGGATTGATTTAGTGAATAAACCTTACTAATGAGTTTATAATATTAACTATATCAGATTAAATAAATTAGTATTTGAACCTACATTGTTATTTTAACTTAAGTAACATGTAATAAAAATAAATCAACAAATTAAAATGAATCGAATTGCAAATTTTAGGTCGAATTTTAATTTGTTGATTATTTGAAAAGGTTTTCGTCTGGCTTTTTCACCTTTATAATTGTTGTACCAACCTACTTGTTTATTCTGAGAAATTGAAATAAGCCCATTGTATTTTTGTTCCCTTCCCTTTTATTTTTGTGAGACACGCAGTGAAATTTAAGAAAATGAAGGGGAGAATGTACTGAAATTTTGTTCATTAAAACTACACGAGAGTTGACATTTTTAATATGTTGTCAGCTTCGTAATGATCAATCATTTTCAATGGAAATGTATACTATTCTATCCAAACATTTATTGTGATAACGTGACTCTGTATTCGGGACAAAAGAACATGAAGGTTGGATGTTAGAGTCGTGTTTTTCTCTAATTTTTAATGTGTAAATTATTTGAAAACAAAAAATGTATATAAATATGAAATGAGAAATAATTTTTGCTTTAATGTAGGGCTTATTGAAATTTCATAAATGTATTAGTAACAGGCATTAAGGTTAAGTAACAAGTATTTTTTTTTTTGCCGTTTTCCAATTAACTTGGTATATGAAGTGGAATGGAACCGGTAACTGGAAAACATTTAATACTCAGTGAGTCATTTCGCTGAAACTGTGAGACTATAATCGAAACTAAAAATCCAACTAAGCAGTTTATTGTTTAGTGTCTGCCTAATCAACAATCAAATGCTAACAATGCTCTGGCAAGACAATGGGGAATCCAGTGGTGTTTGTGTCTGGACTTTGGAGTTCAAGTACATACTGTAGTGCCAACTGAATCACGAAGGGCTCGCCCTGGCCTGCTGGCCAATTAGGTGGTGACTCAAAGCCGTTGTCTATGATTGAGAACCACTGCAACAGCATCAAAATCACCATCAGCCACTTTGGCTCTGGTTCAATGTCACGTAATCGCTGCAAGCCTCCCTGGAGGTGCGCCTCCCCAGATGTCACCTACTCCTACTCCAGCCCCACCTCTTAGTTGCCGCCTCTTTATGTTAATTTATGTGCTGGCAAAATGTGCAAGCGCCTCGAATGCTCAGCCACGCATGGCGCAAACCCGAAATCAGAAATAAATTACAGAAGGCAGTCAAGGGCGGCGATGGCTGGGTGGCTGGGCTGTCTGGGAGGATGGTAAATCAGCAGACGAGGCAGTTGCTCATAGTCAGCACAAAACTAGGAGAATTAACCATTACATGATTGCCATTGGGTTATGCGGGACGGAGTTCAAATAAATTAAGTAAATATATGTAAGAAAATAAGACCTTATTATACGAGTCTAGAACAGACATCCAGTGCACCTATTTATTTAAATTACTATTTTTTCACAATTTAAAGCTCAGTGTAAACAGATACTCATGTGCCAGTACATTCGACACTGCGAACAGGAATAATTGTATATTATAATGAAATCCCGACATTAGTCAAATACTCAGCTGGCAGTTGCAATGTCAACGCAATGCAGCTTTAAACGATTTGCCAAAAGGGGATTTACGGATGGGGATAGGGTTTTTGGAGTGGGGTCAACAGCTGTTGCCATACGTCCTTATGGCGCGCAGGCATGGCTGTAAATTTAATGAGATTCCTGTCAAATTAATTTCCGGTTATGATTAGATTTTCGTTAATAGCAATTTGCGGTTTTTCCTGCCAACCAAAAATATGCGAAATCCTGCTCGTACAATTCCCGGGGCCCTTTCGAGCTTCTCGACCAGATTGATTTGCATTTGCATGCGACATAGCGGCATGCAACATTTGCAATGATTGCACAAAGTGTCTGCTGCAATTATCTGTCCAACGAACGGGCCAGAGTCGTGATGAGTCGGCTGCACAATTGATTAACATTAAGTAGTTTAGTAATCGTAAATCATGTTCCGAAGCCAAGCCCACAAGCCTGTCTGGCTTTGTCATTTATGAAAATTTTGCATATCCGGCCGGGCTCAAGATGCTGTAGAGTCATTTGGCAGGATTCCAAAATTGTGGAGTATTGGATGGGGGAAAGATTTTGGGATTTATTTGAGGGTATCCAGACATAATTGGAGCTTCTTCTCATTATATTCAAATTGTGGGATATTCTCAATAACAGGCTTTGTTCCATGAGCTTAAAAAAAAAATTCAAGTTAAGGAGAGTATTCCCAAAGTAAAGCCCTAATTAGACGTTTTAGCTTTCTGCTTGCCCCAGAAAGTACATACCTTTAACGATTTAAAAATCACTTTGTAGCTCAGTGTTCCGGCACCATCAGACTTTAAGTGAAAGCTTTCGGAACGAGGACGAGGCCCATAATCCATTCACTCCCCAGGCAGACACACAAATCATTAACAATTGCAGCACCTGTCAGGAAATCCCCATTCCCAATCTCCTCTCCTCCGACACCACACACACACAAAACCCATTTACAAATCAAGCCCAGAAATCAAATCTGAGCGTTATTTTTTCCCTTTAGATATTTTCTGCACGTACTAACGGCAACAAAAACGATTCTTGATCCAGCAGGAGTAATGAAGGCCGGGCAGACCAAGGTGGGGAAAGCCTAAAATTAAACAATTTTACTTTTGGCAATTTCATTTTTGCTGCTTTTGAGAATAATTTGTTGCATGTGGTGACGTTGTGGAGGCAACAACACACTCCCTGGGAATCCGGGAGGTTGGAGCCCGGGACCAAACAATCAAAATCAAATTCAGATGAAAAAACTCATTTTAAACGCGACAAACGTAACGTTCAATCTTCCAGAACATTGGCTACGTGACACGATTGTCACATTTGGCGAATGGGAGAGAAAATTCGCAATGAATGCGGGATGATTCCAATATTTTATTTTTGTTTAGAGGTTTCAAGTTAGTTTGGAGC